ATAGGGGTATAAAAATGCATGCTTTAACGTGTTGAAGTGTTAAAAATGGAACCTTGGATGGATATCTTCACGAAATGCAGTTTCTGCATTCTGTCGTGAAATATCCGGATATGTGCCCGTGATATATCCGGATATGTTGTATCCGGATATGAGTTTCGGACATCCGGATATTTGATATCCGGATATGGGGATCTGGATATCCGGATATAGATATCCGGATATGGTCAGTGAGATATCCGGATATGGTATATCCGGATATGCCCCGAGGAATATCCGGATATTCTGGGATTTCGAAGAACAGTAGCTGTACTGTGAGGACAGTAGGCTATTGGGGGTTTGTAGACCCTAGATTAATGAAGTTGAACTTCTGTAATTAATTAACTAAGTCAGAATCATGTGATTGAGGGCTTGTGGCTTTGTTGGAAGCCTTAAGACGTAAACCATAATGGAAGGACGTTGTCTTTAAGTTGTGTGCATGTGGTACATGTTATTGATGTATTATTGGTCCATAACAGATTGTGATCTGCTGTGTGTTGGACTTTGAGCTGTGGACACTTGGTATTTGGATAGCTAGCTTGAGAGGTAAGCTTTCGATGTCCTCGGTTTAGCCATGTTGTGGTTCCACCATGTCCCATGGGGGTATGGTTATGTGCATGCTGTGTTACATGCTTTGAGTATTTTGAAATGCTGTTGAGCTTTATGTGTAATGGCTTTTAATATGTATGTGTTGTTCCATCTTGACGGGGAGCCTGAGTATGGGATGCCATACAATACGGTGGTCCGGGGTGGATGCAAGTGGCACTTGCACATGGTAGGGTTTAGACGTACATAAATCCTGGATTTCTCTGGCCAGTAGAATAGTATTGACACACATGACATGATTATCTGCTGCATTGCACTGTTTTAGAACTGATGATGATAAACTGCTTTTGAACTTATATTGCACATGTAAGTGAGCTTGGGGTGGAAGATCCTTGAGGACTCACTGTCTTACTGAGATTTCTTGTTTAGAGATCTCACCCCACGTTTGGGGAATGCTTATTGCAGGTTCAGGTAGTATGGGGGCTGATGCCTCTAGTGGTAGAAAACTAGAGCTTAGTTGATGATATGCTGCCATGCTGTTTATAGTTGATGTTTATGTATCTGCTCTTTATGTATGAGCTGAGACTGATGTTGGGCATTGTTGCCTTATTTGGGTGAGCATGGGGATTGTCCATGACACTTTGTTGTTCTTGCTTTTAATTGGTGTTGTATAAACTGCTAGTTGGTCCGGTCTACGTGTAGTAGCCCCGGGACTAGAGACAAACTATGTTATGTTTATGTTATGAGGTATTTCAGATAGTTGTCTTAATGCAATTTACATACAGGCATGTTTTTATTAAATGTTAATAAGCAAGTTGGTAATGATAATGGCATCATAATTGAAAAGAAAAAGATATTCCGCATTTTTAATTAAGCGCAGCTTAATACGATAGTATGATAACATTACCGGATATATACGGGGTGTTACAATATCAGATTGTGATTCTGCTGTGTTTGGACTTTGAGCTGTGGACTCTTGGCTTTGGGTAGTTAGCTTGCAAGGTAAGCTTTCGTGTCCTCGGTTTAGCCATTGTGTAGTTTCACCGTACCTTATGAGGGAATGGTTATATGTATGTTGTGTTACATTCTTTGATATATTGAAATTCTTTTGAGATGTGCAATGTTTATGATATGTATGTGGTGTTCCACCTATACGGTAAGCCTGCGTATGTGGTACATACTAGACGGTGAGACCGGGGTGAGGTGCAAGCGATGTTCCTTGTACTATAATTGTGGGTAATAGACGTATTCCTACATTCACTGGCCAGTAGATTATACTTTGACACACATGACATGATATACTGCTGCATTGCACTATTTTGGAAATGATATTTGTTGAACTGCTTTTGGAACTTATATTGCACATGTAAGTGAGCTTGGGGTGGAAGATCCTCGAGGATCCCTTGTCTTACTGAGATTTCTTGTTTAGAGATCTCATCCCACGTTTGGGGGTGCTTATTTCAGGTTCAGGTAGTATGGGGGCTGATGCCTCTAGCAGCAAGAGGCCAGAGCTTAGTTGATGATAGTACTGTGATATGCTGACATGTTGGATGCTGGATATATTTTCTGTTTATGTTTTCCGCTTTATGATTATGTTGACGTTGTTGAGATTGATGTTGGGCTTTGTTGCCTTATTTGGGTGAGCATGGGGTTTGTCCATGCCACTATGTTGTTAGTACTTTTGAGTTGAGTTGTATAAACTGCTAGTTGGTCCGATCTACGTGTTGTAGTTCCGAGGCTAGAGACTTACTTATGTTATTTTAATGTAATGAGGTATTTCAGTTAGTTGTGTTTTGCAATCTACATGCATGCATTGTTTTATTAATTGATTAATAAGCAGGTTGATAATGATAATGACATCATAATTGAAAAGAAAAAGATATTCCGCATTTTTAATTAAGCGCAGCTTAGTACGATAGTATGATAACACTACCGGATATATACGGGGTGTTACACTAAACCTTCCATGGTCATCGCACCAATATATTCAATGACATAGATCAAGTATGGATGAGTGGCATGGAAATTACATGCAATGTGATCTTACCATGCCTATTTCCAACTGGTCCTACTTTAATCTTTATGAGATCAATCCTAAATTTTCTGCATACACAAAGTAGAAACACAAGCACAAAATATAATACATTCAGAGGGAAAATAACATTGAATTCTTTATTCTGCAGAAAATAAACATAAGAATATTTCATTTATTTATTTACATAGAACATCAACATAAAGAACTCCTACTAAACCGTAGTGTTATCGAGCAAAACAATACCCATATGAGCAGTATGCTTGTGAAAGACCTTAGGTACTAAGCCTTTAGTAAGCGGATCCGCAAGCATGGAGTTCGTCCCTATGTGTTCTATGGAAATCTGACCACTCTGAACTCTTTCTATGATAATATGAGAAAAAAAACTAAAGCGCGTAGATTGAGAAAGCCCGTAGAACTAAAAATCTAGAAAAACTAATTAGGTAAAAGACAAGAGACAGTAAATTATTTACTCATATAGAAAATATTGATTTTCTAATATTTTTTTACTAATTTATCTTATTTTTCAAATTATATATCATTTATTTTTATTTTATTAAAGTCGACCTCTATTTATTCAAGTGAATACCAAAAGAAGATTATATTGATTAAATTAACACTAAATTAATATTATATTGAAAATATAATTAATTTATTTGGTTAAATATATTTAAAATTATAAATAATTATTAATTGCCTGATCTAAGATTTTACTTTTTAAAAAATGAGGAAGGATATTGTGACAACCAAGTTGTGTTACTACCAAGTGACTACCACTTAATCTCACCGTTAGATCGATTATGTTGATCAAACGGTTATATTTATTTTCATCTTTGTATGGTCATGATTTTTCATATTTAAAGTAAAAGCATTAAATATGGGAAATCATAACCATACAAAAGTGAAAATAAATATAAAGTATTAAATTTGAGAAATCGTGACCATACAAAGATGAAAATAAATATAATCGTTGGATCAACATAATCGATCTAACGGTGAGATTAAGTGGTAGTCATTTGGTAGTAACACAACTTGGTTGTCACAATATCATTCCCCTTAAAAAATATAAAAACATCAAATTTATTAAGATAATTTGTTTTTTTTTCGTCCAAAACAACGGGGTATTTCTTTTTGACGAATAAGAAAAAAATAATATATTATTATATTATCATTTTTTAATTTACAAGGATTTTGAAATATGATTCTCATAGAAATCTCTATAAATTTAAAAATGTTAAATTGATTATTAACAATTAATTTGACTATTGAAGTTTTCCCTTTTATTCAAAAGAAATCCTATCCACTCTATTTTCTTGTTGTTGTCGTATAATTAATGGAAAAATTAAAAATTATATTATTATTTTTGAATTTTGAAGGATCATGAAATATAATTCTCATTTGTATTGTGATATTTTGAAATCTCTGTAAATTTAAAAATATCAAATTTATGATTAATTGACCATGATAATTTGACTGTTGATGTTTTTCATTTTCTGTCCACAAAATTTAATGTACTCAATTTTTTTTTGATAACTAAAGAGGGAAAAAGAAAAATCAATATTCATTAATAATATTAATATGATTATACGGTGATATTTCAAAACTCCTAAAAATTTATAAATATGAAATTTATTAGCAATAGTAATAATAATAATATTGATTTTTTTCTTTTTCTTTCCATATTATGCTGATATGATTTTGAGTTTTTTTCTTTCTTTCCTTATTATTAAAAATATGATATTGATTTTCTTTTTCTTTTTTATTTGATTAGTCTAATGCCTCATTTATTCGAATAAATATCAAACAAGAGCAGAATCACACTATATATAATTTGGTTAATCAACCTAAACTATTCAACATGAAAATTATGAATATATTAAATGTGTTTTAGAATAAAGTCAAATTATATATGTAGTGTGATTCTGCTCGTTGTTTGATATTTATTTGAATAAATGACGCATTAGATTAGAGTAACCAAATAAGAAAAGAAAAAGAAAATTAATATCATATTTTCAAAAATAAGGAAAGAAAAAGAAAACTCAATATCATATATCAGGATAATAAGGAATGAAAAAGAAAACTCAATATCATATCAGGATAATATGGAAAGAAAAAAATCAATATTAATATTATTATTATTATTATTATTATTGATAATAAATTATATATTTATAAATTTATAGGAGTTTTGAAATATCACCGTATAACAATATAAAAATTATTAATGAATATTGATTTTTATTTTTCCAAATAAAAAAAAAATTGAGTACATTAGGGTTTTTCAATCTACGGGCTTTTTCAATCTACGGGCTTTAGTTTTTTTCTCATATATATGATACAATACTGTTAGGGTTTTATCACAACTTTCCTCATCGTCAAAGTTACAATGGCTGATTGTATTCCGGAAGATATAATGAAGGAAATCCTCCTTCGCCTAGATCCTAAAAGCATTGGAAAATGTATGTCAGTGTGCAAATCATGGAACATTTTGATTAAGAGCCACCACTTCTTATCCTCGTATCAACCGCGCACTCCTCTCTTCCTTGTCCGGCCCTCAGATTATGTGTTTTCTATATGCTCCCCGCAAAATATCGAATACTCGTATCTACCATTATCTGGCTTTTCTTCAGATATAGAATACAGATTTGTGGGGGCTGTCAAGGGCCTCGTTTGCCTCTCTTCCTACGACCCTAGATTTCGTTCCCACTTGAACTTCATCCTCTTTAACCCTCTGACACGGAGAAGCCTGCGACTCCCAATCTCCAAAACATTGTGTAGATCAGGCAGTCAACTCTGGTTTGGTTTGGGGTATGGATTTGGGTTTGATTCCAAGAAGAATGATTTCAAGGTGGTACAAATGAGTTGCATCCGTTTCAAGCTTCCTCCTAAGGTGGAGTTGTATTCACTCAACGAAGGTGCTTGGAGGGTTCTTAATACTCAATTCGACCAAGATTTTTTTAATAACGCGGACGATCGTTGGGGGAACCAATTATTTTTTCACGACAGTGTTCATTGGCTTGTCTGCCGGTGGCATGGACTCCGTAGTTCAAAAAATTACCACATAGTGATGTTCAATGTGGTGGAGGAGAAGTTCAGCAAAACGGAGCTTCCACAAGTGTTGGCTAGGTCCTCCATGGACTTGGAGATTAATGTGATCGATGGTTGCCTCTCGCTTATAGAGTATCATCCCAATGTTATGGGGTACCCTCGACAGCCTGGAGATACTAATATATGGATGAAGAGAGAGTCATGGAGCAAAATTTACAGTGTTTCTTTATCTGGGGGAAATACTGGACAGTTATTGGTTCAAAGCATGAACTCTGAAGTTTTAATGATTCCATTTTTAGGGTTTAATTTAATGACGTCATTGCATTCATATAATCTCAAGAGCCAAGAGATGAGAGATCTTGGGATCGAAAGTTCATTCGTAGAGTTATGTGTTTCTGAATCATTCATAGATTTTTGTGCTTCTGACTTCACATACAGCTTGTTTATGCTTGACAAAGAAAGCAATGCTGATGGTTGGTGTACTTTACTAATGCTTTCTTTATTTATTGTAGTTTTGTATTCATTTGGTGGATTCAGATTTTTTATTATTATTTATGTGCAGTTTGGGTCTCATCGGACGAAGGGAATCATCATCATCAGAGGCAGGAGAATCATCATCATCAGAGGCAGGAGAATCATCATCATCAGACTCAGGAGAATCATCATCATCAGACTCAGGAGAATCATCATCATCAGACTCAAGAGAATCATCATCATCAGACTCAGGAGAATCATCATCATCAGACTCAGGAGAATCATCATCATCAGACTCAGGAGAATCATCATCATCAGATGCAGGAGAATCATAATCAAACTAAGGGGTGTGTTTGGTATCAAGTTTTAAAAAAATTTGTTAGAAAAATTATTTGCCCAGTATTTACTTGTTGTGGTAAAAAACACTGTTGAATAAAATCAAATCACCTACAAGTGTTTCGCGGGCATGCACTCTTCCTTTTTGTTCTTTCTTATAATATATGGACAATATTATGATTATCATACTTTTTCTTTTCTCTGCTGAGAGATTCTGAAACGTATCAATTTCATAGCATTCTTTGGTCCAATGCTAAATGATTGTGTGTTGATTATCTTGCTGTCTAATGCTGTTAGGCACGATAAGAATAAAGAGGACAAAATTTGGAGGGTATGTTCCAAGAGGAGTAAATTGTAGCTAGTCAATTAGTTAGTTAGAAGAGAATATTTTGGCAGTTAGGTTGTTAGGCAGTTAAATTGGGAAGGAGAGTTTGGGGACACTGCCTAAGCCAACTTAATTTTTATTTATATCTAAGAAAACAAACAGAAAAGAAGAAAGAGCACTGCCTTTATATTTATCAGTGCATACCACAAACCAGGATTCGTGTGTCACCCAAGCAACCATCATATATCCAAGTTGTTTTGTTGTTTTTCTCAACATTTCCAGTCAAGGATTGATTGAAAGCTAATTAAACAAAATAGAATCTTTTTTTTTTTTTTTTTGCGTACATCTTCAAGAGTACCTTCCAGTCATGATTTTGTTCTTCCTATGAGTTTTTTAATAGCTAACAATCTATCATCTATGTGTTTAAATAAGTATGCTTCTTCAAGGGACTTTCACGCCACTATTTCAAAGAATGCATAAAATTTGTCCAGTTCATGTTTGGATCTCAAATTCTTACTTTGGCGCTCTACATGTTTTATATAAACAAAAATTATATTGTTAATAATTCGTTGACAAAAATTATATTGTTGATGATTCACTGATATGAATAAAACAACCGTTATTGACAAGTCTTAAATCTATTTTTATATATTATTATTTTCCATAAGTTCATAAACATAGAACAACTCATTCTCGGTTGACATGTTTGCTGATAAATCCATTTTATTTTCAAGTTATATTAACCCAAAAAATTCATGCATGATTAAACTGCAGAAGACTCATTTTATTTTACCTACTTTTTTTTATCCCTGCCTTACCTATCAATTCTCATATCGTTAGATCAAAATCTCAACTAACATTTACAATTTCTCTCTTCTCTTGAAATTCGAATATAATGTTAGAGATTGGTAAGCAAGGTAGTGATAAAAAAAAGTAGGTAAAATAATCCACCTCTTATTATAGTATTTGCATCTAAGTTATAACAAATGAAACATTATTTTACATGGAATAGGTTATTCTATCTATCGCTTTTTCATCCCTTACCTTGCCTACGAATCTATAACACTGTTAGATCAGAATATCAAGAGAAAAGAAAAATGAAAAATGTTGGTTGAGATTTAATGATGTTGGAGAATTATAAGTAAGGTAGACATAAAAAAAAGATAGATAGAATAACTTATCCCGTTTTACATAATTCCTCAACAATGTAATTTCAAATTTCAGATTGTATTGATTTAATGTTAATTGTCATGAAAATTCAAAGGTTTTCACTTATAACTTTTAAATGATGGAATAAAATAATGAGATAATCTATTATATACACGAAACTTTATATATAAATTCATTCAATTGAGGAAATAAAAACTATGGCATCAATATACTTAAGTTTTGCCCCATTTCTAAGTTGGTTTGGTTTCAGCATTACTTTGGTGCAGCTACTAAGCTGGCTGCATAGGAAATTTCGCCAGAATAGCACTGAACAGTTCAAAAACTTAATCGTTGGTAAATCATGCAGTTAGACAACAGACATCTATCAATTTCTTCAAACATGAATTAACAATGTGAAAGGCAACATACATCTGTTAATTGAACCGGCTCGAAACGGGGATATTACATGTATTGATTTTTTTTCCTTATTTGGTTAGTCTAATGTCTCATTTATTTGAATAAGCAGAGTCACGCTACATGTATATAATTTGACTTTATTGCGAGGCCCATTTGGTTCACTTTGATCGAAGAGAAGAAGATTGGTATATAACTTAAAAAAAAGACAAATTGATACATTAATTTAAAAGGGAATAATTTGGTTTATCAACCTAAATTATTCAACATGAAAATTAGAAATATATTAAAGTTGTATATTTTAACTAGATTATAAAGCAATGGACAAAGCTTCCCATTTTAATATCATGAAATCATTAATATTTGATGGAGTTAAGATATTGTAATTTAAATAAAAAATACGGAATTTTAGTAATTTGATTTTTTTTACACCAAATAATTCCAAAATAAAATAAAAATAAAAATGAGGCCTTACTCTTAAGGGGTGTATTGGATTAGGATTTTAAAAGACTTTTTTGAGATAAAAAAATCTCGGATTTTAAAAGAATATTTAGAATTGAAGGGACTTTAAAAAAAAATTAAAAGACTTTTTGTACAATCAAGATTTCATAATATTGGATTTTAAAGGATTTTAATAGAATTTATTAGATTTGAAAGGACAATATGAATTTATGAGCTTTTAAAAAATTATATGAATTTTTAATAAACACTCAAAATTACTAGAGATAATGAAAAATAACAAAGAAATGCAATGATATTAATAAAAAAAAGTAAAACCTAATATAATTTTCTCAATCAGCAAAACATAGTATAATTTTTTTAAAAATCAAAATTACTAAGCAACAGCTCTCCATATATCTAAAGTTATACTAGTCTTCCACGCATTAGCATTTTCTCGTTCCTGCTCTTGGGTTTGACCAATGAATTGAAAATTATTTCTTCATTTGGTATAAGATCTATGCATATATGATTATAAGACCCAATTTTTTATTTATTAAAATAATTTAAATTTGCGTATAGAACCAAAAATTCATGACAAAATTTCGTTTGGAATTTTTTGCAATTGATCTTGAAAACCTTAGAATTTTTGTTCTACGTGATAAGAGTTTTCTAACCATATATCATATGTATGTTTTCATTGAGTATTCTAAGCAGTGTTATTAAACTCGACCCGGGCATCGACCCGATCGAGGTAGTAGGTTACTGGGTCACTGGTCGAATCGATGGGTCACTGGTCGGACTGGTTGACCCGAATATATATAGATATATAAAAATATATATAAATATGAACATATAAATTCAATTATATTCTCCATATCTAAAATAAATTAAACAAGTTTCATTAAATAAACTCAAAAACAAGAAGCATAAATAAATAAAAATGCATGTTATTACTATGTCAATTTAAATCGCAACTCAGAATCCTCATAAACACACTTCTCAATGACATTGAACTCATATTTTTTCAAATTCAACTACATTAAAAATGACATGTCAAATTCTCTTAATTTATCATTCCTCAAATTGCTTCAGTGTTAGAAGCTGAAATTTGAGGTCATTGTAGAAGAATATACTAACAAATAAAATTACAAAAAGTTTTTAAGATGAGTTATACATTTTTTTGACAAGACGAAACAATTTTGATTTTTTTGTTTTTTTTTTAATGTATGACCCGGCCGGGTCATTAATTTTGACCGATTTTGGGCGATTTTGATCAGATTTGACTGGGACGATGCATGACCGTTTCAATACTTGTCATTTTTATTTTTGTTGCTATGGGGATAGGAGAGCAGTTGACTGGGCTGGGGTGTATTAGAAACCAAAACCAATGCACCCTTATGAATAAGGGTGTAAATGGGCCAGGCTGGCCCAGCTCTGCCTACAGCCCGACCTACATTAAGCCTGGCTTGTCCCGGCCTTTTAGAAAAGTATAGTAGGCTTAGTCTTTTAAGAAAGCCTTTTTAACAAATAGGCCGTAGGCCAATTTTGCCAAGCTTGGCTCAAAGCCTTGTAGGCTGACCTATTTAATTTATTAAAAATAAAATAATAAAATAATATTTATTTTATGTGGCATGACAAAGTACCAATACTAACCCTAATTTTTAGATGAATGACATTCTCTTGTAGACTTTATTTCAGCACCCAATAATTGTATTTTCTTATTTTTTCCATTTCTTTGACTCTATTCCTCTATGATATATATTCTAGAGCTGTGGTATTATGTTGACTCTTTCTTGTTTGTTATTTTGTTCTTATGAGAAGTACTAGTGTATGCATGAATGAAACTTTCTTTGCTTTATACAATTATTTTCTTTGCTTAGTATCTACAGTGGTAGACCTACAAAGCCTATAGGTCATGTCGGGCTTTCTCATTTTTAAAAATAGGCCGGGCGTGGCCTACAAATAAAACGTTTAATAGGCTAGTAGACCAGATAGACTGAATTTTGTTTACGTAGGCTTGGATCAGGAAGGCCAAAGCCCAGCCCAGCTCATTTACACCCCTAATTATGAGTGAAGGAATTGTAGCCAATCATTGTTCTAGGTATCACATGGTCATTATTGCTTCTCTGATTTTTACTTTTATTTTCCTGAATCTTATCATCGCAATTCTCTTTATCTAAGTCATTTGGTTTAATTACATAAGGGGAGAGAGAATTCTCCATGTGATATTGGTAATAAAAGTATGTCTTGGATGATTTGATTGAGTGCACTCCTAAACACTTTCAAAAATTAAGAAGCTAGATGCTTAATTAGTAGGGTTTAAGTTTTCTTATTTTGTAGGATTGTAGGAGAGAAAAAAAGTAGAGAGAAGTTAAATATGAGTCCCATATTTTATATTAAAAAAGAAAAGAAAAATTAATTGGCACGAAAAACGAATTTGTGTAGAAAAATGATGTACTCTCATGTGGCATGAGAGTATTATTTCCCTAATTAGTATTAGGTATGCTCTTTTTCCTTCATGATTTGATTTTTATTAGCTTAACAATTTATTTTTTCTAGTGATACATGACCAATTTTTTTAATTGGAAACTATAAGTAGCAACAAAGGCTTCCTAATTTTTTTTTCTACATATTATTATTAATAAACACCTTTGAGAATTTGGGGTGTTTTTATTCATTTATTTATTTTTCTGGTTTGGGCTTAATTTTATTTATTTTTTTACATTAAATTTCTATATCATTGTAATTCATGTTGGTTTCTTTTTACTAATCTACACATTGTCTTCCTGAACATTTTTTAGTTAGTATATTATTCATTTCTTGAAGAAATGAAGGGAATAAGGTAGTGCTTACATGAAACTCTGCTCTTCCCTCTCATCGTCATAATTTTTCAAAAATTGGGTTATGGAGATTTTTTTTTTTTTTTTTTTTTGATAACAATGGAGATATAATTGTATCTATAAAAGAGTTAAAACTCTAAATTTCTGAAATAGAAAACTATCTTTTAAGATATAATATTATTATTTTTCTTAATTAAATTTTAGAAAACTATTGCTGCTTTCACTGTAAAAACAGTTTTATGCAGCATATAGTTCTGACTTCTCAGGAATATATTATGTATTTTTTATTTTTTTTGGAAAAACTTCAAAAAAAATCTCTATAAGTTTCTTCAAAATCACTTGTTCCCCTTTTCGAATTTTTAATCATTTACCCCCTTATTCAAAATTTCTTTATCACTCAGTAGATGTGTAAATGGGCTGGGCTGGGCCGGGCTTTGACCTTCCTGGCCCAAGCCTACGTCAAAAAAAATTCAGCCTATCTGACCTACTGGCCTATTAAAGGCTTTATTTGTAGGTCAAGCCCGGTCCATTTTTAAAAATAAGAAAGTCTGACATGGCCTAAAGGCTTTGTAGGCCTCCCACTGTAAATACTAAGCAAAAATAATAATTGTACAAGCAAAGAAAGTTTCATTCATGCATGCACTAGTACTTCTCATAAGAAAAAAATGACAAATAAGAAAGAGTCAACATAATACCCTAGCTCTAGAATGTATATCATAGAAGAATAGAGTCAAAGAAATGGGAAAAATAAGAAAAATACAATTACTAGATGCTGAAATAAAGTCTACAAGAGAATATTATTCATCTAAAAATCTTTAAACCACATCAAGACAAGGGAAAGAAGAGTATTATTGAAAGATCTTCATCAGTAACATCATAATCCAGCAAGGTGCCTATTGCTCCATGGTATTAAGCTGCAACAACATGTAAAATTTGGAGACATTAGACAAATTTTCCTTTCATAAAATAAAATAGCACAAAAAGTAAGAGATATTGGTATTTGGTACTTTGCGTCTTTGCCACATAAAATAAATATTATTTTATTATTTTATTTTAATAAATTAAACAGTCCAGCCTACAAGGCTGTAGGCCGGGCTTGACAAAATTGACCTATGGCCTATTTGTTAAAAAAACTTTTTTATAAGCCCAAGCCTACTCTACTTTTCTGAAAGGCCGAGCCTGGGCCGGGCTCAATGTAGGCCGAGCCGTAGACTGAGATGGGCCAGCATGACCCATTTACACCCCTATCACTCAGCCCCTAATTTGTTTTTTCATCCAAAATTTTGTTAACAGAGTTAAATTTTTAAAACGTACCAAAATTACCCTTAATATAAAAAAGAAAAACATAATTTTCTCACCAACGCAGTTTTAGACAAACTCACGTAAACAAGACATCAACGATTGAATTCTCTATATACTCTCAACGACACAGAAAACAACGAAATAGCAACTTGTGCATGTTTGCTTGATAATTTCCTATGATTAAGAGGAAAACAATGCATATATGAAGCACAAAACGTAAAGCTTTTCAGTTGTTGTGCAAGCAAAATAAAGTGTGGCTCTAAATAAATTTATAAAGTCAGATTTGTTGATCATATAATAGCAAAAAAGCTTATAACAGAAAAGAAAATATCTAAATTTGCTGAGATGATGCCTCTTTAATCATTTTATTTTAACAACGGCACCAACAATTGTGAGTGCAGTCTTTTTTTTATTTTTGGTGGATGAACTAGTGCAGTCTTTAATAGCAATGGAATTTGCATGAAACAATTTTAATAATTACTAATTCTAACAAGGCTACCTTAAAGAAAATATTTCTTGAGTTCGTCTAAAACTACGTGAGGAAAATATGTTTTTCTTTTTTCTATTAAGGATAATTTTGGTATTTTTTAAAAAAAATTAACTCTGTTAACAAAATTCTGGATGAAAAATTAAATTAGGAGTAAGTGATAAAGAAATTTTAAGTAGGAGGATAATTGATTAAAAATTTCGGGAAGGAAATTAAGTAATTTTGAAGAAACTTGGGTTTTTAAATTTTTTTTTTTTTAATTGATAGATCCTTTTAAAAAAGAAAAGAATATCTAACATACTTTCTCTGGGGCGTTGCTTCAGAAAATTAAACCCCATTAAATTTTAAGGTATGCTTTTTTTTTTTTCCAACACCTAAAACTTATTTTTATTTTCATTTTCTTATCCATCTATGTCATAATTCCTTTTTGTTTTGTGTTGTTGTTGTTGTCGTCGATGTCGTACACTGAACTCTTCGATTTACCTTAAACCCTCCAACTGAGCACCACCTTGTTCCTCTCCTTTTGTTGTCAGATGTTGGGTTATGCTTCTTCTATCCATCCTAATACACTTGCTTGCAGGTATGTGTTACTTGACTCTGTTCTGTACACTATTCTTAAATCTTAGTTATTGATTGCCTCAATTTTTGTTTTTGTTTTTGTCTGTTCACAATTTAATTTTAAGCCATAATTTTTTTTCTCTAATTTTGATTTTATTCTTCATCTATATAATATCCCTTTTGTTTTGGGATTTTGTTTCAGACTGGAATTGACTTCAATCTTCAGCGGCAGCACCTCCTTCCTCTCCTCTGTCAAGGAGACTATAGCTGGTGGCTTTTGCATATTTCTGTTTCTCAAGATTTTTCATTTAATTTTCTGTTGTTACTATAGCTGGTCATGCTCTGTTGTTTCATTCCTGAGGCTGTTTTAATTTGCATTCCTTGGTGGTCCATGGTATTGATGTACTCATTATGTTGAGTTTTCCAATTCAGTTTCACAAGCCTGTTACTTGTTTTCCCAACTTTACTTATTGCTCCTTTCTTAATGCCCCAAATCATACAAATGCTGATATAAGCACATCTAATGATTACCTTCGCATTGTTGTCGTTTCACGACCAAAACAATGTGTGCCCTCAATTGGGTCAGTAGGGTATCATGAGTCAACACCAATGTCTAAGGACATAGTTCCTAGTGTTGACTTTGGTCTCCGTGAACAAGAAGAAGAAGAAGAAGAAGGGGAAGAAAATGATGATGATGTTGTTGGTGAAGGAAGAGAAACAGTTGATGCATCTTCTTTGTACAAGAAGGAATTGTCTCCTTGGGGAGAAGTGGAAGATTTGGATGGTGGTGATGATGGTGATGATGTTGAAGGAAGAGAAGAATTTGATACATCTTTTGTGTCCAATAAGGAATTGCCTCCCTGGGGAGAAGTGGAAGAAGAAGATCATGATGATGTTGAAGGAAGAGAAGAAGTTGATGCTTCTTTTATGGCCAGGAAGGAATTGCCTCCTTGGGGAGAAATGGTAGATGATGGACACCGGGATTCAAGATCTGTTGATGCTACTTTGTCAGCTTCAAAAGAGATGGGACTTATGAATGAGCATGGAGCACTTTTTCTGGAAGAAATGGATGAGAATGTGCTATCTAACAGGATTTTGGTGCTTAGCAGAACTAACAAGATTAGAAGTGCGATGGAATATTTTAGGTCTATGCAATTATCAGGTCTTTGTCCAAATATCCATGCATGTAATTCTCTTATGTCTAGCCTTGTAAGAAATGGGTGGTTTGATGATTGCTTCAAAGTATTCAATTTTACAAGAACAAGAAGGATAACCACAGGGCATACTTATAGCTTGATTCTTATGGCACATGCAAAATCTCAGGGTTGTTGTTCCGCCCTCAATTTCTTCAGAGAACTAGAAAATGAATGTGATGTGGGGAAGGATTTTGATGCAATTGTTTACAACACCATGATATCTGTTTGCAGGAAGGTTGACAATTGGAGTGAAATAGAGAGGTTATGGAGGAGTATGAAGGCAAATGGGTGTGCTGGAACGCATGTTACATATCGTCTATTAATAAACAGTTTTGTACATTGTGACCAGAGTGACCTTGCTCTTTGTGCTTACCATGAGATGGTTCAAAATGGATTTGAACCGGACAGCAATGCATTGAATGCTGTGATTAGTGGATGTGCTAAGGAGGGAAAATGGGATTCTGCATTAAGTGTCTTTCGAAAAATGTTGGCAAGTGAACTTAAACCAAGCTTAGTTGCGTGCAATGCATTAATTAACTCACTTGGAAGAGCAAGGGAACTCAAACAAGCATTTCAGGTCTTTGATACTATGAAATCATTGGGCCATAAACCAGATGCATATACATTCAATGCTCTACTAAGTGCTCTTAACAAGGCCAATATGTATCGCGAAGCTCTTTGGCTTTTTGACAAGATTGAAAGAAACCAAACGTCCCTATTCAATATACATGTATACAATACTGTTTTAATGTCTTGCTCAAAGCTTGGGTTGTGGGATAGAGCTATTGAGATTTTGTGGCAGATGGAAGCTTCTGGACTGTCTGATTTGACAATATCATATAATCTTGTTATTAGGGCATGTGAGATTGCAAGGAAGCCAACAACTGCATTGCAGGTGTATGAGCATATGGTTCACCAAAAGTGCAGTCCAAACATATTTACTTATCTATCCATAATAAGATGCTATGTTTGCAGAGATCTCTGGGAAGAATTAGAAGAAATCCTAAATGTGGGTAAAAAAAAACATTTTCGAATTTCTAAGCAATATTTGTCTAAGTCTAGTTTGATACAAAAACTACAAGTGATAGTTATTGCTTAGCTAAAAATGATTTTCAAATAGATCATTTTTGAACCTCTGTCAATGTATAGATTTGTTTACACTAACACTACTTTCTTTCACACAACTATTTCTTCAAATTAATTTGTGAATATTATGCCTTTAATTCATGAACTTTAATATTAGAATTAGAATTTTATTTTTATATTTCAAAGTTATGTATATTTGAATGATATCAATTACAAAAAAGGTCATCATTTGGTACTAATAAATGATTATTGTGCTGCTATTATAAAGATTTTATATACATTGATATTGTATCAAGTGTTAACTCAATTACAATATAAAATAAAAATTGTGGTAGCATCCTTCCTCGTTTGTGATTGAGTCAATAGCTGGAGTTGGACTTGATTAACCACTATAGATTACCTTAATTTGGGATTGGTTCTAAATAGTTGCTTCTCTCCAAAAACTTTGCATTGTGAAATTTGCCAAACAGCTTAGTTTAGTACTTCTTGATGTGAAAAGTAGAAGCCATCCGCAGCAACAATCCCAAATCATGCAGAGTATTATGTGTACATGGATATGTAGATCAAATTTGTGTTTTCTATGCGATTAATTACAAATTTTAATTAAATTGAGTTATAACTGATCTACCTCATTTTCTGGTCTAACATATAAATATTTAACCTCCCTAATATCTGTTCCTTTTGTAGCAGACCATGCCAAATGCTGCTCTCTATAATGCTGCTGTTCAAGAAATGTGCTTGCGCGACAAGGTTAAGTTTGCAAATAAGGTCTATACAAAAATGCTAGAGACTGGTCTTCAACCTGATGTCAAAACACGAGTACTAATGCATGGTATGATAAGGAAGTAGCTTGTATTCTATCAGTTGCTATAACTAACATAAGAGTTTTGAAACGATGACCTGGAGAATATCATAGTCAGCTGAATCATGACCCATCAAATAATAAATAACTCTTTTTGGTTCTTGGGAAAGAGAATGGCAGACTTAAATGTTAAAGCCTCTAACAACTGTATAATTATCATCTGCACTATTCTCTCCCTGGTGCTGAGACATGTAAAGAAGCTTCTTGTTTAATATGTATGCAAATGATGTAAATACCCAAGTCTTATACGTGATTTTTTTTCTGGTATTTTCAAGAGTTTTATGTCATCTCCTGAACGTAGCTGTTGTCTCTCTTGCAACTATTTTCTGCAGTATTCTGTCTGTGTTTGCTCTTTACTATTTCCTGTGCTCTTAAACACAAGTTCTGATATTCTTCTTGAAGTATTTCTTAATATATGGACAATATTATGATTATCATACTTTTTCTTTTCTCTGCTAAGAAATTCTGAAACGTATCAATTTCATAGCATACTTTGGTCTAATGCTAAATGATTCTATGTTTATTATCTTGCTGTCTAATGCTGTTAGGCACGATAAGAATAAAGAGGATAAAATTTGGACGGTATGTTCCAGGAGGAGTAAATTGTAGCTAGTTAATTAGGAAGAAGAGAATATTTTGGCAGTTAGGAGTTTAGGTTGTTAAATAGAGAGGGAGAGTTTGGGGACACTTGAGGCTATCTATTGGAAATTCAGAACAATGAGACATTCTCAATGGAGGAAGGGGTTACCCCCTTGCAAGAAGATCATCCCTTTTGTAATTCTCTTTTCTTTCTGAATCTGTTCTCAATACTCTCATTCCATAACAAACCTTTGCTTATACAACCTGAGGGCCTAATAAATAGTCATTTATCTGCCTCACATTTTTACTGATCAACCTAAACTCCTTATTCAATTAGATTCATTACTCTATAGGTTGCAGCCTCAGGGCCTATCTAATATTATCAAGGGAAAAGTTCACCAATGCCCCTGTGGTTTACTTCAGAATCACATATGCCCCTGTGGTTTGTAAAAGGTATGTTTTTTTATCACATATACCCTTGTGGTTTCTTATTTTTTACAAAGCACAGGAGCATATGTGATAGGAAAAAAACCACAGGGGCATAAATGATTCTGAAGCAAACCACAAGGGTATTGGTGAACTTTTCCCTATTATCAATTAGTTCATGGAAGAAAAAAAAGTTTTATTTGTTGGATACCAGGTGGACTGTGGTGGTCTGTAGTGGTCTGTATTGAATCTCAAGATATATACTGAATATTATTATTTCCATACATTTTGCTGCTTCAGATTAATCTTCTTCCGAGTCAGACTACATTTTTCCATGGCTAAAATAAGGAATTACAATAGCTTGGTTTCATGACCAAGACAACAAAAAGAGACTGGTTTTGTATTGGTTTACACTAAATTTTGAGGACATGTGGCATGAGAACTGGTTGGGGGCAGTGGTGAGTTGCAAGCAGATTATTGATGGTGATAGAAAGTATTTATAATTCTCATTAATAGTAATCAATATTAAGTGCGACAGAATTAAGGAATAAGAATTGGAAATATTCCTTTGTGTTTTGCGGTATCAAAAGCAAATACATGGAAGTGAAACATTTAGTGTCAGATGTAGTAAGAATCTCATTAGTTTTCACTCTGCATGTGTTTATTCTAAATGAGTACAGCCATTGACTGAAACTGCTTTTATATTTCTATTAAGATATGTTTTCTTCTGTTCACGTGCCATTTCCAGGTTTGCTCGTTTACTGTCAATTGAAGTCTAAGCTTGTTTATGTTATGGTATGGAGAATATGAAATGGGTTCATTTCCACAAACTTTGTATATGTTATGTTACTATAATCTTCACAAGTTTGTTTATAGAGCTAAGCCAACTTAATTTTCATTTATATCTAAGAAAACAAACAAAGAAGAAGAAGAAGAAAGAGTTCTGCCTTTATAATTACCAGTGCATAACACAAACCAGGATTAGTGTGCCACCCACGCAACCATCATATATCCGGATAAATACTTTTTTTAAAAATCACTTTTTCATCATTTTTTCAGTAATTGTATTTTTCTGGTAAGAAAATTTTTCTCCTGTGCCATAATTAAAATTACTTGTTCTTCTAAAAGCATAAGTAGAAGCAACTAAAATTAAGGTAATCTGTAGTGGTTAATCAAGTCCAACTCCAGCTATAGACTGAATCACAAAGGAGGAAGGATGCTACCACAATTTTTATTTTATATTGTAATTGAGTTAACACTTGATGCCAATACCAATGTATATAAAGTCTTTACAATAGCAGCACAATAATTGTTAATTAGTACCAAATGGTAACCTTTTTTGCAATTAAAATTATAATTATAATAAGTTCATGAATTAAAGGTATAATAGTCACAAATTAATTTGCAGAAATAGTTGTGTGAAAGAAAGTAGTGCTAGTGTAAACAGATCTATTCATTGACAGAGGTTCAAACATGATCTCTTTGAAAAACAATTAATGTACTTTACCATTAGACTTATTGATAATTCATTTATATTATTGATAATTCATTGATATGAATAAAACAACAACTATTGACAAGTCTTAAATCTATTTTTTAATGTTATCCATTAGTTCATAAATTTTGAACAACTTATTCTCGATCGATCCACATGCTTGATGATAAATTCATTTTTTACTTTCAAGTTATATTAACCCAAAAAGTTCATGCATAATTAAACTGTAGAAGACTCCTTTATTATAATATTTGCATCGAATAACTTGTAACAAATGAAACATTATTTTACATAATTTCTAAACAATGTAACCTCAAATTTCAGCTTGTATTGATTTAATGTTAATTGTCATGAAAATTCAAAGGCGAAACTTTTAAATAGTGGAATAAAATAATGAGATAATCATTATATACACGAAACTTTATATATAAATTCATTCAATTGAGGAATTGAAAACTATGGTATCAATATACTTAAGTTTTAATTTACTCAAAATTTACTTCTTGCCCTATATCACATATTTTCTAGATCAACCCCGGATTAAAGTACAAAAGGGAAAGACAAGACATTGAATGTAAGGACATTTTATGAAAAAAGCAACATGGTACTTTTAACTACAAGGAAAGGGCTGGCAAATTATACACTCGACCAGCACGTTCAGAATTACTTATTTGATCATGCAAAACAAGCACATTCAATGTGCTGGATTCTTTCAACCAGGAAGCTACCACATATCCTGGTGACATAAATCTTCCCAAATTACACTCAGCAATCCGAAAGGGAGCACCCATGCCATCAAGGAGTGTCTCAACAGCCCTTCTTAAAGTGCCATTCCCAACTACCTTGCTATGCTTGCCCCATCCAGTTAAAATGCTGCAAAAAAAAAAAAAAAACAAAGAATTATCATTCATTCATACCTTAATCCTTACTAATCCAATCAAAGGACAACAATAATAATCTTTGGTGGGAAAGATGCATACTTTAATATCTTAGGCAGTTCATAGCCTTCAGAAACAACAGAGCGTATATTGAGCAACCATGCATGGACCATTGCACAAGCAGCACCACAAGACATCAGATGTAGATCCAAGCAAGAATCAGACCAGTCACCATTCCACACATTTCTGCGTCTCCCTTCAAGTACAACCAGCTGAGCCCCTCGTTTCTAATGTCAAATTCAATTTATTATAAAAACAGAAAATGTGAAAGTCAGATTAACACAAAAGAAAAGGTTCAACTCCTATAAAACTCATAATTCTAATCATCCACATACTCACTGATGAGGCATTTATACTACCTGAGTAGTAAGCAAATCACAAAACTAAAAGATGCAAATTCAACTTTACCTGACCAAAGTGCCACAGCATATCTGTAAGGGCATTATAGAAGGCAGAAGCTGTTGAAGAATCCATACGCTTGATTTCATCAAATAGAGATTGAGCCTGAAACCATGTGTTTTCCCTGAAACCCATAAGGAGTCCATGGGCTACGCCATACACCTGGTTATCAAATACGCGGAGCTCATCTAATATCTTGGAAGCATCTTCAAATGAATTGCAATGGCTGCATTCAACGGACCAAATTATACTATTTTCATTTGATTATATAATCTCATGAGAATATCAAAGTACATATTATAAAAAAGAAAGGAAAAACAAAAACACTAATAAGAGGTGTGGCAAAACAGCAAAAGAACATTGAATACATCACCCATGACTTGCTAACGGATTGAAATTGAAGGATAGGAAGTAACTGCAATATAGCATAAAATCCATGCGATTAAAAATGTAGCACTCGAGATATTTAGGGATAAAAAGGATGGGCAAAGTAATATTAAACACAACTAAAGATGGCTGGTCTTGTAATTAACAACTAGAGAAATGGAAGAAAAGCTTTAGTTAGTGAGAAAATTGGACCTATTCCCTGTCACAGCCATTAAATTCTCTTACATAACAAAGTAACCTCAATTAAAAACAAATCATAGATCTAATCATAGCCATCTAAAGTAACTAGAATAAAAAGAAGCTAAAAGAAATAAATAAAATATGAAATAACACTGCCATAGAACCTAGGAATGTGAAAAGAATCAAACTATTCAGGCTACATTACTTAGGGGCATAAACAGTGGGTTTCACCTTTCCAGATGAAGCTGATGAAAATCCATTTCCATTTATCTCTTCTGTCCTGAGCAATAATAAATGACTATATAGAAAAAAGTAAGAGAAACAGAAATCTTGGATAGGTATTTACCTGCAAGCATTCAAAATGGCTGAAAATGTGACAACATTTGGTTTAATTTCCATGTTGTGCATTTTTCGAAAGAGCCACAATATGCAGAATTTGTCTTGTCTGTCCCTCTTATCCTTCTTTATAAGACCTGCATTTTCGGCAGCAAGTTGCTCAAACATCATCAGGATTCGGTCGTCCTCCTTATCTGACACCTGATCTTGAAAAGTACCCTCAATAAGCATTGAAGATGAAGGTTCGATTTGATACTCATTGGCTCCTAAAGAAGTATTCACCCCACATTCCAAAGCCAAAGACTGGCCAAAAGCATCAATTATGGAGTTATAAGTGACAACATTGGGCCTAATTCCTTTCTCTGTCATCACATCAAGCAACATCATAGAAGACTCCACCAACCCATTTTTGCATAGAGCATCAATTAGTGCACTATAAAAGACAACATCAACCTCCAACCCTCGCTGCTTGAACTCTTTGTAAACATCCATTGAATTCCTATACATTCCACCTTTAGTGTACACATCAATCATTGTTGAGTAAGTTAACGTATTTGGATATATATTTTTTGCTTTCATCTCTTCAAATATACTCTCAACTTCGTCATACATGCCATGCTTCCCATACCCACCCAAAAGTGCATTATAAGTTACTACATCTTTTTTTATACCACAACTCTCCATCTCCTTGCATTTATTGAGAGCCTCCTCAAACCAACCAAGCTTTGCATAAACTGCAACCAGGGTATTATAAGACACCCGGTCAAAACCAACAGACAGACGCTTCATTTCATCGTATAAATCTAGGGCATCTTCTAAGCGGCCAGCCTTGGCATAACCATCCATCATAGTACTATAAGTCACAACATTGGGAAAAATTTTCTTAGCTGGCATCTCTGCCATAACCTTCCCAGCTAAATCCATCTGTCTACCTTTACACAGTGCATCCAAATATGTATTATAAGTATATACATCCTGTTGGATCCCTTTCCGTTCCATTTCTCTTAACAAGTTTTGAGCCAGTTCCCATAAACCCTTAGGGACACAAGCACAAAGAAGTGAATTGTAAGTAACCCTATCAGGCAAGATGCCGCTGGCAACCATTTCATCAAAAAACTTCACAACTGTGTCAAATTCCACTTGCCCTTTGGCCCCTGCATCAATCAATGCATTATAGGTAATCAAATTGGGTTCCAAGCCAAAGTTTCTCATGGACCTGAACAAACGTACGGCATCAGGAAAGCGCCCATTTCGGCCAAATGCACTAATCATGGAGGAATAGGAATAAACAGTGTTTCCATATCCTTCATACTTGGCCATTTCAAATAGCCTCAAGGCATGGTCAATCTTCCCCAACCTACCAAGAGTACTAATCATGGTGCTAGTCAACTTACCCTTAATAACCATCCCATTCACCCTCCAAATGGCAAAATCATAGCACTTAGTGGCTTGCAAGAAATGACCAGTATTCCCAAATTCCTTAAGCAAATAAACATAATCCTCACCTCCACAAAGCCTATGTTCATAACTAAGCAACACATTATCAACAGCATCAGCATTATTACCAGCTTTGAGGAGGCATTGCAATGCCTCATCAGCAGCCTTTGAGTGAGGGTGATTGTTGGGGCTGTTCCTAGGCCGTCCGGAGTGCATCTTTGCCGCGAACCGGGTGGAGCGCCGGCCGGAAAAATCGGAGCCAAGCCGCGAATTCCGGGCACCACCGAGCAAGGAACTCAGGGAGGAGGAAAAGGCCGAAGGAGCCACGCCACTAGCGGCGGCGGCGGCGGCAGATGCAGCAGCAGTGGGTGCACCTGCACCAGCACCTACACCTACACCTACACATGTTCCTGTTGCAGCAGCAGGTAAAGGTGAAGACTTGGAGGAATAATACCTGTTGGAAGACCAACGGTTGTTGTTGTTTTGGCGTTGTTGATGGTTCCTGATGTGGTGGCGGTGGTTGTTGTTGTTGTTGTTGGGCCTTACAGGGTTTGAGGAGCAATGGGGTGTTGGTGTTGGGGTGGAAGCCATTGTAGAAAGCAAAAGGGTATTTGAATTCAATTGAAAGGAGAGGGCTTTTGGCTTGATTTGATTGCACAGGATCAGGATCAGGATCACGATTGTGTTAGTGTATCAAAAGAGTGAAACTGTGGGTGAGTCATACAGGTGAGGGACTATGAGTGTGTTCGAAGCTGCATTCAGCTCTTGGAACTTTTTCAGACATCTTTGGTTTCTCTGCTCTGTGGTTTAACCACACTATCTACCTACTCTGCTATCTCCGCTTTAATTGGATAAGAGGATTTGACCTAATGTAACCTCAACATGTATTTAACCTTTTTGTTTTTTGCAATTTTTTTAAGGGATAAAATAATCTCACGTTATTCACTATAGTGGTGTGGGGGGTGTGTGTAGTGTAGTGACGTGTGTTCAATTTCCATGTAATGTAAAAAAAAAAAAAAAAATTAATCTCACGTTACATGAGAGAGTATATTTAATGTTCTAAGATAAACTTAATGTGGGTCCTACTAAAAAATAAAAAATCATGTTATCAAAAAAATAAAAAATAAAAATGAGATCCACCTTAATTTTGTGTCACCCACATAAGAGAAGCTATCCCCTTTAACATGAGATTAGTTTATGCCTTTTTTTAATCTAGTGTATTTGTTTTATATATATATAAATATTTCTACCGCTACCTTAAATAAGGTTATTTATAGCTATTTCATAAATTACATCATTTTGATTAATAAAAAATATTTCAGTAAAATATATATGATAAATAAATAAATAAAATTATAGAAATACCCTTCATTAATTCACCCATCATTGATTATTCGATTAGTTGGTTTCAAAATGCTCTCAAATTTATTAATTCACCCATCATTGATTATTCGATTAGTTGGTTTCAAAATACTCTCAAATTTATTACGGCAACGCGTTTTTCAGGATCATTTTCTCTGTTCATTTCCAATGTTATAATTTAAGACTTTTAATTAAGAGAAGGAAAAAATGTTTATCCTTTTAAATAACACAACTTATATCTTTTCACTCTCACAAAGAGGTGAGACCCACACTTTTATTTTTATTTTTTGTCAACTCTCTCTCTTCCTTTATTTATTTATCTCTTTCTCTCTCTTAAAATGACACAACTTTACATCTTTTAAAATGACACACATTTTTTTTCTTCAGAGAAACTAAGTTCCTTATATCTAACTAAAACTTTTCACTTAGTAAGATAGGTGATTTACTTGTATACCTATGATTAATACTAGGGTTCTGCCTTAAGTTTTTCTTTTTAAAAAAAAAATAATTTAATATTGGGGATGCTGCCTTCATTAAGTGTTTATAAATTATAATGAAACTTTTGATTGCCATTTTTCATCTTTAATGAACTCAGCTTCACCTCAATCGTTTCGTCAAACCCTATATGATAATAATCTTTCATTTAGAAAGAAAACAGAAACCTAATAAGATAAGAAAGCGAAAGAATCCACTGTCAATTTGAATGAACAAAAAAAGAACCTTTCATCAGAAGATATAAATTGCTAAGATTCAAAGGAATTATTCCTAACTACGCGAATGATTTAGTATCCAAAAAAGAAACGGCTAAGGGAATGATTTTAGGTTGATGTATGAAACCAATTTGGTAATGTACCTAAATGGATTAACTTCATGTGCAGGAGGAAAATATATATAATGCCCCACTATATGCTTCACTAATTAGAATTGTAGTTGGTGAATTAAATGCTATGATTATGGCACAGAAGTGTTTTTAAAATCCAATGACTTTTGATTAGTAAGGAAATGAATTTCTATTAATACATGAAACCAATATTGTGGTATTGTATCCAAGTTATTAATGTGCTTCTATCTAAAGTGCATATATCCAACCTTATTTAAGAAGATAAACTTTTATTTCTTTCGTAATATGAAACCTAAACAGCTAAAAAGATGGACAGGGTGGGGGGTTTATGTTTAATTTTTTTTATAATTAGTTTTAAAAACATTGATGGCCTAGAGTTGACAAAACAGGCCGATCCATGCCTATCTGCCCTCAACTTGCAAAAAATGGAACGAGGCAGGTTGCTCACCATTGGTAAAGGATTAAAAATATTAATCTATCCCATTTTGAAGTAGGTTAGCGGATCAAATCACCTAAAAAATAAAATTATTAAAAAATAAATAAATATATTAAAGCGAATATCTTATTTCTAGTCTCTAACATCTAACAATACTTCTCATATTTACAACAACAAAAAAAGAGCATCAAGCAATAAGTCAAAAAAAAATTATTTAAGCCAAAGATTTCATTTAACATAATTATACAAATCATATCTTAATATCAATTAATAATTTCAGTGTTATTATATAATGGCATCAAACATGTGAATATGTGCGAATGAACACATCACTGCATCCCGTAACTAAAATTTCACAAGCATTAATTTGATTTATTATTTAAATCCAAAAATAAGCTTAACTTTCTTTTATTTTTCGTATTAATCTCTTTTTCTGTCAAATCAAAAGTGAATAAAAAATAACTTTTCCAATAAAATAATATCATTACCTATATTATTAGAACTGACTCGATCATTGACCCGGTAGGAATACTAGATCACCGGGTCACTGGTTCAACCGGTAGATCACCAGTTGAATCGCATAACCGAGGTTAATATATAAAAAAATTATTTTATATATAAAAATCTATAAAATATTCAAATACATGTAAAAAAAATTGTTATGCTGGACTACAAGCATATATAGTTTTGGGGGGATTAAAAAAAATCACATATGGTAACCACGTACAATATATTGTAAAAGAAATAAATAAAGAAAAAAAATTCAAGTATCAGGTAACCACGTATAATTTCCTCCACCAAATATCCTCAATTAACCATGTTTAATAATTATAAAGTACCAAATGATGGTAGCTCAGTTGGCGCTAGAGAACTAAGCAGATGAGGATGAGAGCATGTGTTCAATCCTCCCTAACGTCTTTAGGATGGATTTAAAACAATAATCTCAGGACCCGCCCCGAATCGGACTAGTCGCGAAGCGATTAACCGATTGAAATATATTCAAAAATAATAATAATTATAAAGCATTTACCAATAACTCTTTCCATAAAAATAGATTTGCAATGAATCAATATATCACCTTCTCTAAATCTACTGTTCCGTTCTGCAAATTGCTTCAATCTTGGAAGCTAAAATTTGAGATCACTATAAGATGATATACTACTAGCAAACAAAATTATAAAAGTTTTTGAAAGCAGTTCCACACTTTCTTCTTACAAGATGAGACAACTTTTGTTTTTGCTTTTTTTTTATAAAAATGCATAACTCGCTGATTTTCAAGACCCAACCGATTTTGATAAAACCCGGCCCTTCAAACCAATTTTCACCGGATCCAATACGTGGTTGGTCAGATACTTGACTCGAATAGTACAATAACCAATTCGTTAAGTTCTGAATCAACCAACCGGTTCGAGCCGAGTCTTATAACAGTGTTTGTGTCATTCCAAACTAATAAAAAGTCACATCTTATTCAATATTTAAAATATGTGAAAATAGTCAAAATACTATCATACCACAAATAATCATGATCACATTTAATGAATGATTGAAGGTGAAGATTAAACGACAAAGGAAATGACATCGCTCTCTAATGTTAAACATAATTATCTACCATTATTACAGTTTTGGTCAGGATCAGGAATCTTGAAAGATGATGAAACATACGGCAACGACAATGAATTGAAAGCATTGCTTGTAAACGACACGTCATTGAACCAAAGTAAAAACAACTGGAATTGATTCTTTCGACCATAACCACCAACTGATACACTATAATACATTACAACCCTGATGCAAAGTAGGTTAAATCCAAAGTGCAGAGTAGAAAATAAATGTAACAATCACAGCCCCCCGAACCCAAAATTGAACTTCCATTCAAATTTTTCTCATATCAAGAAGTCCAAGATTAAAAACAAGTTTACTAACTGTGAAAGACTATAGCTATAGATTATTGATCTATCTGATTACCTTATAATCATAGATTATGAAGCTAATATAATCAAGACAGAGAAAGAGAAAATATGGATAGAAATTTAAGCACGTTGCTGAAGCTGTAATATATTCATCCATTGCACCATCCTTGCCATAGGCAACCAAAGTATCTTCAGGGATATCATGAAACTATGACACCCATTGTGAAATTAGATCATTATGATGAACAGGTTAAACCACCAGCATGCAAGTTCAATTCATATCAAAACTTGATTAGCTTCAACTGTTTCACCCCATCCCATCTATTAATTCCCATATGATTTAAGATCAACAATATCTCCACAACTTCAAGTAATACAAGCAACAATAGATTGACTTATAAAAATCACGGATTATTTTTGCAGAAAGAGACCCCTAAACATAGTAAAATAAGTACGACTTGTACCAGAAAACCATGTAACAGAGGACATAAACAAACTCCAAATATAATAATAAAATTACGCGGAAAAATGATAATGATGTTGAATAGCACATACTAATTCCAACTAGGATTTGTTATATCCTACTTTGTGATATAATTAAAAACTTAAGTCTACATACACTCCAACCATACTAAAATTACCATTAAAGAGACACTAGTTTTGCATTGACACAATTATTTAAAACCAAATAAATGACATTCTCTTCCTTATGCTATGCTTTCTGCTAGCAGTATCATCATCATCTGAATGAAAGCTACCATATCAACGTAACCATATTAAATATTCTGCATACTTCAAGGCCTGCAGGAAACATGAGGTTATTGTAAATGTCACCATTTTATTGTAAATGTTACTGTGATATTGTAAAAATGTAACTAGTAATCCCAGTTGTTTTACACCAAACATTAGTTGTTTTTCTATTAAATTTTTTCACTGAAAATGCCTTTGATTATTTTGAGTAAGCAAGACATAAAATATTTTTCCCAACCGGGGATTTCAATCCACCACCAACCTCATCGTTCCCTGCAATTTCATGTATCATTTTTTTTTATAAAAAATGAAATATTATTAGCTAGGGAAGGGAGAGTACAAGATAGGTTAAGATATCAATATTTTCATGTATCACGCATTATGCAAGCAAATTTTCATTTTTCACAAATGCAAGTTTAATAAGAATAAAATGGCCAAAAGGGTTGGAGAGCATCGCATACCCTAATTCTTCTTGTTTGTTACTATTGGTCATCTTTATTTGCTTCCCCAATATCACTAGGAAGTGATAGCAGACTCTCTCTGTACATAATGGAGAATGGATTCGATAATGACATAGATTCCACGAAGCCTCGATTATATTTTCGATAATTAAGCAGCTTTCCTTCACCGTTAAGTTTCATTAATACTCCCCTGTCATCTGATCCAACAACAATTTCACCACCTTCAGTGAAGCATATCGGGGAAAGGTAGATGTCAGGCGCCATGAGAAAAGTAATCGAAACAGCGGACTTAGTCCAAGATGACTGCACTTTATATTCTTTCATCGTCCATATCTCAATCATTGCTTCACTCGTACCCCTTGACCAACAATAACACAGACTGAGACATCCTCAGTTTACCGCCATACGATATGCTCCAATACGCAATTCAGGATCATCTGGCAGAGGAATCTCTGACAAACTCCTTTCTATCGAATCAAATTATATAATGCTGGCAGTTTTGTCAACCACATCCACACCATCAGGGACATCCAACCAATGAAGAGCCCCATTCAAGAATAAGCCAACTTTGCCAACTTTGTATGCATACCAGCCCCAATCATCACCATCCTTCGAAAATGGATAATTACCCTCAATTTTGTTCCATGAATTGGTTTTCAAGGAGAAAAACTCTATGCGATGTGGCAAGATAGTAATTACCAAGTAGTCATCAGTTGCTACGTCATACCCTAAACCACAATAAGAACTGGACCATGAGTAGGGACGAGAGAATGGTATTGTTTTATGGGAACCGGTTGATGGATTCCATAGAATTAAATCAAAATTACTATTACGACCAAACTTTAAAAGTATAAACCCTCGACAGGAACCCAACATTCTTAAAGAACTATTGCGGTAGAATGGAATGGGAGTAGCGAGGTGTACTAGAGCAGAATCATCGTCAAAGAATGCTTCTATATCTATGGATGCACGAAAAGATTTATCAACCAGAAGTCGGTGGGTGGGTGCAGCAGCTAGGTCAAAATGAGATTTTGCAAATTGGGGATCGGAAATGAGAGAGAACCATGACTTACACACACATTTGAAACGCACAAGAGATTTCACCGGTAACCTCAACAGAATTTCTGCTATCAACTCCTCTGGTAGTGTGCGAGTGACAGTGAGATTCATCTTCTTCTTTATTCTTCTTCTTCCTATTCATCCTCACGCAGTCTCTTGTTCACCCTTCGATTTTGGTTTTTTATGTAAAGAGAAGAGAGACTGCAAACCAAACGTCTTATATAGGCGACCTCGCTCGATCCACCCTCTGTCATTAAATAAAGAATATGTTTAAGGGGATAGGATATTGTGACACCCAAATTATGTTACACCCATGTGACACCCAGTCAATCTCACCGTTAGATCGCTTATGTTGATCAAACGGTTATATTTATTTCCATCTTTGTATGGTCATGATTTCCCAAATTTAATATTTTATATTTATTTCTACCTTTGTATGGTTATGATTTCTCATATTTAATGCTTTCACTTTAAATTTGGAAAATCATGACCATACAAAGATGGAAATAAATATAACCATTGGATCAACATAAGCGATCTAACGGTGAGATTGACTGGGTGTCACATGGGTGTAACATAACTTGGGTGTCATAATATCCTATCCCTATGTTTAAGTCTTAAAAAATATTTTTTGAGAAAAAAATTCTGGACTATAAAGTTTTATGTTGGTTTATTCTATATTGTTTATTTAATTAAAAAATTAATATAAAATTATTATTTAAATAATTTTAAATAAAAATAACTGTATTTTAGTTTGTTTTTTAAAGTTATTGATAGGCCTAAAAGACGTTACAGTTGATATACTTAAAAGATCGAGGCCTAATATGATAGGATAGAATTTTTATTTTTATTTTTATAAATAGATCAGATGAGATTTTTAATTTAATTTATTTATTTCGGAAACATTTATAATTTAATTTATATAAACTAATAAGTTAACCCAAACTCAAAATATTCTACCTTATACAACTTATTTAGATTAATTTTTTTTTTTTTGATAATATTTAGATTAAAACTTAGTCTAAGTTAATCTTTTCTTTTTTTTTGGTGAGGAAGTTAACCTATTTATACCCATACAGGGAGGAGAAAAGAGGAAATAAAAAAGCCAATAGTGTTTATTGGAGAAAAAAAAAGTCAATAGTGTTTTCACTCTAAAATCCTATTTACAATAGGGGTAGAATAATTTTACACTAGTATAAAAAAAAAAAAAATTTACATTAAATTTTAATTATTAATTTATGTGCATCTAATCAAGATCCTAAGAAACTCAATACTCAAGCTGCACAACTCAAAGCACAAGAATGAAACATAATCCAACAACATTTTCGAGAAAACCTTCTATGTTTATGTCTCTCTTATCCCCAATTGTTGTTTGAAGAAGGATTTGGATTTGGCTTAATTACACTATTTTTTAGCATGTAACTTTTTTGATTAAATTGTGTAATTGGAACTAAAATTTAATATGTATAAATTATAATGTCTAATTTCTTGGGGAAGACAATCAATTTTTGGGTCTTTTGTAATGCAATTTTCTATCAGTTTTGCAATTGGTCATGGTAGTTAAAATTCGATTTACCATTATGTTTTATGATTTTTTTTTCATCAAAATGTTTTTACCAATATTTTAAGTGTTTTTATGATTGTGTATGATTTTTTTTATGTTACGATTTTTTATTCCCTTTTATTTTTACTTAAAATTTCGTTTTTAACTACCTTGATTGTTGCTAATTTCTTGTTTCTTGTTTTATTTGAAGTGTTTGTTGTGTTTTTTTTTTCCAGTTAAATTTCTCACATTCAGTCTAAATGTTTAGCTTGTTGTCGTTGATTGATTTTTTTGTTTTTGTTTTTGTGGTTGAGATAAAAGAAAGAGCAGAGAAACTTGGGAACTGGAGGATGAAAGTCAAAACGCATGACGAGAAGAAGATAGAGAAGAAAGTTGTAGCGTCGACAAAGTTCCATGAGGATTGATGAAACTGATCTCGAGAAGAAAATAATGGAATCCATTGTTGCTACAACACAATTTTGAGCCCCTTGCAGTTCCAAATTTGTATAGGGTTGAAGTCTTTTTTATCTGGTTAGTGGAATCTAGTCTTTTGTTCAAAGCAGCCTCATAAAAATAGTTCTTTCATTCAGAGCATCACATTTATGCTTAGCCCTGCTGGTCTATACAAGTTGCATGATAATAATGTATGAAAATAAGTCTTATGCTGATTAGTCTTGGGAATTTTGAAAGAAGTACTAACTTCCAAAAAAAATAAAACTTACTTGATTGTGTGTAAGTGCAAAACATGCTGCTTTCTTTGAAGTGACTTTGGTAGAAAGATTTCAAGCCAGTGGTGATTGGATTTGATCCAGATACACCCTTCTGATTAGAAACATTTCGAACCAGTCCTTTGTTTAGCTTGTGTAATTTCAGACATTCCTTTATTCAAATAGTTTGGTTGGTTAATGATTTTTATACGTAACATGTATTATCAGTTAACTTGCAAAGCCCAGGTAACCAAAAATGTTTAGTATACTTTTGAAATTAAAATTTAAATACTCTTAAATTAACTAAAAAGAGAAAGGAACAAGTGCTTAGTTTTGGGCCTTGCCCTCCTTGTAACCAAGAAAAATAAAAGAGAAACATTCTGTGACTCTGAAATGCAGATTATTGAGTATTATGTTGTGTGTCAGTTGACTTTCTCCATATTACTCCTCCTCACAGGTAGCTATTATGCTAATTAGTAAAGGATGTGATAAACTCCACCCACTTGCATCGTTGGTTAACAGGATTGGTGATTTGTTGAGTAGGCAATGGTTTACCAGGATAAGTCACATCTATAGAGAGGATAACATGGTAGCTGATAAGATAGCTAAACATTTGAAAAGAAACGACTTGGTTCGGTTTAGAATTGATCGAGGTCGACTCTATTTTGAAAAGAAAAAAAATTAAAAATTTAAAAAATAAAGTTATAAAAATCAATTTGATTCGGTTTGAAAACAGTTCGGTTCGGTTCGGTTCGAAAACGGTTCGGTTCAAAATGGTTCAGTTCTTAAACTGATTTTAAAAACTTGTTCGGTTCATGAATTGGTTCTTTAAAAACTGGTTTGGTTTATGAACCGGTTTTTAAAAACTGGTTATTCGAAGAGCAATTTGGTTCGATTTATGGTCAGATTCAGTTTTTTGGTTATTTTTCACACCCTTACATTTTTGCATTTGTTTAGGTACTATAAATATTTTATTGAAGTAATATAGTCATACATAACTCCAAATCAAGCTCAATAATCTGCGTTTTGCATTTGTTCTGAAACAGCAGAACAAGAAAACCAAAAATATGAAAGCTCGAAAGTCAAAATCAATCAAGCTTCTAAATTAAAACACGGAAAACCATGCATCAGATTCCAAATCCACAGTCATGCAATCACACTTTGCATATTAAGTAAGTCATCAATGGTACAAATTCAGGAATTCAAGTCCAAAAGACAACCTCAACTCAACTCATGTCCTCAAGCATAAGGTTTAAGGTTCTGGACAAACTCAGATATCAAAATCAGCATAGAATACAATTGGGTTATATACATGCTATTATTATGTCAATTTAAATTATAATTAAGAATCCTCATAACATAAGCATACCTCTCAATTATATTGAACTCATATTTTTCAAATTCATTTGCATTGAAATGACATATGTCACATTTTCTTAATTTATTGTTCTACAAATTACTTCAGTATTGGAAGCTGAAATTTGATGTCATTGTAGAAGAATATACTAGCAAATAAATTACAAAAAAAAATTAAAATGAGTTCTACATTTTTTTCTGATAAGATGAAATAATTTTGGTTTTTTGATTTTTTTTATAAAAGTCCATGACACGACCAGGTCACCATTTTTTACTAGATTTGGCCAGTTTTGTTCGGATTTAGCGAGTTTTGACCGAGTCCAATACATAATCAGTTTAATGCTTGACAACCAATCCGATAACTGGTTCGCCAAATTCCGAGTCCACCGAAAGTGTTGGTCCGGGTTACACATTAGTGTCGTAGATTCCTAGTCATATAATCACAACAAAATAGCCTGAGCATCCAAAAAGTCTTATATAAAGTCAATACCGATAACCTTCACCGATATTTCAAAAAATTTGATGTGTCGTGTCCGACACTTCCCGACACGCTAATACTTGTTGTAAGGACTCAAAAAATATTCAAAAGTTACGTTACATTGCATTTTGAGTTCAAACTATTAGATTCGTTAGATTATGATTACGATTTTATTGAGTTTAATATAAACATTTGAAATATATTATGTTTCTTTGCAAAATTAATGGGTATTATAAGTTTATCTTTATTTTTTTATTAAATTATTGAATACTAAATATAATATACACTATATAAATTAAAAATATTATATAATACCAAAGCGTGCCTAATGTTTAACATTTTTTAGAATTAACATATCAAAATGTTGTGTCGTGTAATATCTCGTGTCTCGTGTATAAGTTATCCCCTCCCTTTCTCACCATGAGTCTCAAGTCTCGACCAATCTTATTAAATTCAACTCTGTCATTGAACCCATTGAGATATTGGTTCACAATAGTGACACTGGTTGAACTGCATGATCCAATAAATATATATAAATTTATAATTTATATTAAAAATATTATAAATATATTCGGGCACATGTAAAAAATAATATCAATTCCAAATATTCTAATATGAAAAAATAAAAATAAAACACACCATTATACAACAAAAGATCAAACAAAAATGTTGCAATCTTAACCATAGCAATTTGCAAACACTATAGGAGGTGTTTGGTACAGGTCTTCCAAATAGACACCCTTGCAAGTTGAAGTGGTATTTTGAAGAGACCTTATTTGGTACAAAAGTATAACAATTTTCATAAGCAAAATGCTTTGCCCAGGTGTAACACCCCGTATATATCCAGTAGTGTTATCATTACATCGTATTAAGTTACGCTTAATTAAAATGGAGAAAATCTTTTTCTTTTCAATTATGACGTCATTATACTTAGCCAACTTGATTACTTAATCAATTTCATAAAATATCACCTGAATGTAAATTGCAATAAGACATCTACTGAAATACCTCAATATATAAATAAAGTGAGTATCTAAGTCATAGATCTACAACTCGTAGTCCGGACAATAATCCTAATACATTATTACAACTCTAAAATAAACAAGACATAAACAAGTCTATGTGGCATGGACAATCCCCATGCTCACCAAATCAACAGCATAAACAACAGCGTCTCATCAATGTAAACATAATCATAAACTGAAGCTAAAAGCAATAAGCAGCATGCATATCCAGCATCCACATGACAGCATACAATAACAGCAAAACTAACTCAGCTCCGGCCTCCTGCCGCCTGAGGTCTCAACATTACCTGAACCTGAAATAAGCGTCCCCAAACGTGGGATGAGATCTCTTAACAAGAAATCTCAGTAAGACAAGGGGTCCTCAAGGATCTTCCACCCCAAGCTCACTTACATGTGCAATATAAGTTCAAAAGCATTTATTCAATATAAGTTCCAAAACTATGCAGTGCAACAGATATCTATGCCATGTATGTTTATCACTATCTACTGGCCAGAGAAATGCAGGAATACGTCTAAACCCACATGAGTACAAGGAACACCGCTTGCACCTCACCCATAGCCTCACCTTATTGTATGTACCACATACTCAGGCTTACCGTATAGGTGGAACATCACATGCATATCCATAAGGCACTAACATATAATAGCTCAACAGCATTTCCAAAACATCAAAAGCATGTAACACAACATGCATATAACATATCCCCATGGGACATGGTGGAACCACAACATGGCTAAACCGAGGACACGAAAGCTTACCTTGCAAGCTCACTATCCAATGCCAAGAGTCCTCACAGCTCAAGTCCAACACACAACAGATCACAATCTGATTTAGGACCAATAATAAATTAATAACATGTACCACATGCATACAACTTAAAGACAACGCCTTTTCATTACGGTTTACGTCTTAAAGCTTCCAACAAAGCCACAAGCCCTCAATCACAAGATTCTGGCTTAGTTAATTAATTACAGAAGTTTCACTTCATCAAACTAGGGTCCACAAACCCTCAATAGCCTACTATATGCACAGCCCAGCTACTGTTCTACGAAATCCCAGAATATCCGGATATCTCACAGGCCATATCCGGATATACCATATCCGGATATCCTGATCCCCATATCCGGATACCCAATATCCGGATACCATATCTGGATACCCAATATCCGGATACCATATCCGGATATCACATATCCGGATATATCACGGGCACATATCCGGATATTTCACGACAAAATGCAGAAACTGCATTTCGTGAAGATATCCTTCCAAGGTTGGGTTTTTACCAATTTTAAACACTTAAATATGCATTTCTAGGTGTGTTTGATATTACCCCACATCAAGTTATCATCTTTTAGCCTTTACAATGTATCAAGATACCATTTTTAAGCATTAAATTCATGAACAAAGGTTGGTACAACATACCAAGGCTCAAAACAGGGGATGAAGGTGCTCTTGGAGCTCACGCAACAGCTCCAAGGTTCTGACTTGGTCCAAGCACGAAAATGGTACACAAAGATGGTTCTTTTACTCAACAAGGAAGCTCCTTAAAGCTTCAAAACACCAAAAGAAGGCTTTCTTTTTCCCAAAACGTGGAGACAGCAACACAACCTCCCAAGGCAGAAGCCAAACTCAGAAAAAGGGTCCCTCTATCCTCACCAATCACACACCCAAGTGTTTCCCCAAGAGAAAAGTGAAGAAAACCAAGAAAGATCAAGACTTGGTTCAAGAAATGGAAGGGAAGGCCAAGGAGAGCATTTCTGGTCAGCCACCAAGCTCTCTCACGTAGGTAAGGTAGTTTTCTAGGGCTTTGTGCCCTTAGTTAGAGTATATATAGTCACATACACTTAAAACACATAGTATTAGCTTTAATTGCTACGCTTAGCATATTAATCCCAAACTCAGGATTCTTAACCTACTCAATTTTACAAGAATTATCATATTTTTATAATATTTTTTCCGAGCACCTTTCCGGTACGCGCTTTTCCATAGCCAGTATCAGTTCTGGCACCAGTTCTCATTATTTTGACTTGAAACACGTTTTACAAGTCTTATATACTAATCTAGTAATTATCATGCACTTATAATAATTTTCTGGAATACTTTTCCGGTACACATTTATATCGACTAGCAAAACCAGTATCTGCAGTTTTCTTCCGAAAAATGACTTTCAGCATTCTAAATCACTTACCATATTTATTAAGTCTCATAAATAATTATTAGGGTCAATTATGGAGTCATTTCCAATTAAACATAATTAAACAATTAAAATACCTTAATTAACGGTGCAGGTTCTTACACCAGGTATGCTGAATTGTGTGCGAAGTAAACCACTGTTGTAAATAACCATTAGGAGGATGGTATTTCACTAATAGCAGGGAAACAAAAATTTGGGATGGGTACGAAGAAAAAAATATCCCAATTGTACTATTGAAATTGGAGTCTCTCTCCTCAGTTGCAGCCTCTGTGTGGAAGATAAAAAAAAAACTTGCTTTATTGTTGAAATTGGAGTCTCTCTCCCTGGCATCCTTGTACGTTGGTTGAACAAGACATATTGTTGTTGATGTTTTAATCAACGGTTACATTTTTTTTAATATTCAAAAATAAAAAATAAATTTTTTTCGTAATTTACACCCATTATCCCATCAATATTTTACTTTAACCAAACATAGATTTTGTAAACTTCAATTAATTTACCCAATAATATTTTGGTCTACCAAACAACTTTTTAAAATCTTTCCCATCAAATTTGATTTCATACAATATTAACAGTCATTATGCATACTCGATCAAATTACTCATCTACCAAACACCCTCTATCGGTCATTATCCAACAAAGAATCAAACAAAAGCTAAAGGATCGCACACCATAAAAAATGTTGCTATTGTTTTCTTTATGCAGACACACTTTGCTATGGTTTCTCATTCCTGTTGCTTTTAAGTCTTAACTATTATTTCTTGTAGCCCTTAATCTGCAGTTGTCCATAGCATGCAATTGTGACAATTCTGCCACTGCTACATGTACCAAAAAGCCAACACATGCTATTGCTAGGTGTGTTAAAATAGATTGACACAATATGAATTTGACACGACACGAATTTAGCATGATATAAATATATCAACACGAATACAAAACAAATTTTTATTTGTGTCAAAATCTTCAACACTAACACGACATGAATTTTTTGCAAGTTAACACGACACGCTACGAATAACACGCAAAATAAGGGTTAACACGGTAATTGACAAAAAAGAAATTTAAAAAAATGGGTCGAAATTAATTTTTTTTTACAAAATAATAATAATAAATTAAAATAATTAAAACAAATATGAGTCAACACGAATACATCAACATAAACACGATACAAATTTTTTACGTGTGTCATTTTTTCCAACACAAATACGACACAATTTTTTTCATGGATCAACCTGAAGATGAATTTTCGTGTCATGTCACGAATCGACCCAAAGTCATATGAAAATATGCAAACTAAAGTTTTTATTTTTTTTGGTAAGCAAAAACTAAAGTTTATTACTCGATGCTTCTTTACGTATCCTATAATCTTATCTATGTGGTTTTCATCTACAGAGGGTAAAAGGGCAGAGTAAATTAGTAGATTGATATCTACTAACTGCCCACTTAAAATGTGAAGAAGAATATGCAGAATATTCAACTTAAACGGATTGCACTAGGAGGGTAAAAACACAAACTGCCCACTTAAAATGTGAAGAAGAAGTGTTATAAAAAAAAAAAAAAAAATGTGAAGAAGAATATGCAGAATTTTCAACTTAAACCGATTTCACTAGGAGGGTAAAAACACAAACTAGTAAAATACATTGAACTTTGATTTATAAGTTTATCGGCTTCCGAGTCTATCTCGGATCGATCCGATTTTTTCAACACTGAGCATTACGGCCTTAATAGAAATTTTTTTATCTCACGTGTAAGTCATTCACATGAACCAATTAAACCATAATTTAATATTTAATATATATTTTTTGAGATAGGATATTGTGACATCCAAGTTATGTTACACCCATGTGACACCCAGTCAATCTCACTGTTAGATCGCTTATGTTGATCCAACGGTTATATTTATTTCCATCTTTGTATGGTCATGATTTCCCAAATTTAATATTTTATATTTATTTCTACCTTTGTATGGTTATGATTTCCCATATTTAATGCTTTCACTTTAAATTTGAAAATCATGACCATACAAAGATGGAAATAAATATAACCGTTGGATCAACATAAACGATCTAACGGTGAGATTGACTGGGTGTCACATGAGTGTAATATAACTTGGGAGTCACAATATCCTATCCCATGTTTTTTTAAGAAAAAAGTGACATACAGGTTTATTCGCCCATAACCCATTTTAATCCACTGGCCAAGTTATTTGAATTAATGGGTTGATACTTGAATATACAAATCAGAACCAGTCCCGTTTTGATGAATTGACCGTCGGATTTAACCCATTTTTTTTTTAACATTGCCTTTGACCTAGGTTGGGAAGAATTTTTTCATCTTATTAATTATTTGATTAATTATAATTAAAAAAGTTATGATATACATAAATAAAATATGGGTAATGTACTTCTTATGTGACTGCAGAAGGAAAAAAGTGTAGCAACACTTATTTTTATCAGGATACGCGTGCGAATCCTGATGTTTTTTTTATAGGATCCGCACGCGTATCTAGTGTTAAAAATTTGCTGCAACTTTTATCATCAGCAACCACATGAGAAGCGACGGACCCATAAAATATCTGAAAATTAATTAAACTTTAAATAATAAAGAAATAAAAGTAGGATATCAATCTTCCATAACGGCGTTATTAACATCAAAAATTTATTTCACAAGGCTGAGATAGATCCTTGTCTTCGTTTTCATCTTCAACAATTTAACATCTTACCTCTCTTTCTGCTTTTCAATTCCAATTCCAATTGCAATGACGAATTCGATGGGTCCTCCACCTCCCATAAACCCTAATCTTCCTTCAACTTCTTCTTCACTCACTGTGGAGGAAACCACCGCAGCACCAATCCCTCCACCATCTCTACCTCCTCATAATCCCGAAGCTTCTAACCCAAACTCATCCCAATCAGCAGAACCCCAACCACCAAGCGATTCAACAACAAATGACGACAACTCTTCTCATGGCGTAACGGTTCCCTATAAGATTCCTCCTTGGAGCGCTGCTCCCTCCCATGAATTCTACCTCGAGGTTCTCAAGGACGGTTCCATCATCGACAAATTCAATGTGTTAGTCTCTCTCTGCCTTGCTTTATTTGTTCAATTTTGCATGTGCTTTCTTTAAGGTTTGGTTGCTGAATTTGCAGCTTGCATTGTTTTTTTTTTTTTTTGCTCAGGTCTGAGAAAGGGGCTTACATGTTTGGGCGATTGGATCTCTGTGACTTTGTGCTTGAGCACCCCACTATTTCTAGGTTTCATGCTGGTACGCTACACATTTATCATTTCTTGCTCTCAATTTCATATCTTCATCTGTTTTTACTTTTATGAATGTGTGTTTACTTTAATCAAGTATAAGACCATGCTTAGTTATTATAGTTATAGACTTTGGTTATGTCTCTAACAACATAAACAGTTAGCCTCTCTATTACTGTTGTAACAGACTTTAAGTTAGTTAGGCAGCTGTCTCCAACTGTACCTATCTCCATGAATGTTAAGACTCATAACACAGTTCATTTAGAATGGACAATACTTAGGTTTACACAGAACACTCTCTGATTCCTCTGTTTCCCGTTTTCGCATACTTTCTAACACTTTCTTTCTCAACCACATATTCCAATACATATCCATAACACTCGACCAAAGGAAATCCGGCATAATCTTATCTATTTTGTGGGTTTTCTAAATGCTTAGTTCAAGAGAATTAGACGGTGATTACTTCTTACTGAACATGAAATGATATCAACCCATCCTACCTTATCACAATAGCTAACATGACCTGATTACCTGCATTTACAGTTTACACACAACTTCTTGTGTACAAAAGTGAAGCTATTTTACTGTTTAAGGAGAGATGAATTGTGGTTTATACATTTCATGAATCTAAGCTTTGTAAACCATCTATTCTGAAAACATCTGTAAGTCATATTAAAGCCATGCATAACATGGTGAATATCGTAATCAAAATTTATCCTTAATGGTTGTAATTTAACATTCATAAAGTTTGGCAATGATTCTTACCAAGGTTTTCATTTGTCTTTCGTTAGTTATACAATTTAAGAGAAGAGGAGATGCATATCTCTATGATCTTGGGAGTACTCATGGCACCTTTTTGAACAAGAATCAGGTATTACATTGCATTTTCTCTCTCTTTGAAATTTTGATTATAGTTTCTATAAGATCTGTGTTACATCTAATATTCTTTTGTGATCCTTCTGTTCTTTACTATTTGCATGTTTGAGATATACCCCGTGGCAGAGATACAAGAATTGTCACATTTTTCCATTTCTCCTTACTCTTCAATAATTGGGATTTAGAATTCCCCCTTCTCAATATCTCAGGTTTTTATGTAAGGCATAAATAACTGTCTTTGACATTTGATCTATGCTATTGCTAATTGGACTGAAGGAGAGTCAGCTAAATATATTTGCTAACATTGCACGTTCAGAGATGCTTTTGCTAAAACCTTGTTCAAAAAATCCTTCAACTACAGCTTTTGCTACTTAGGCTGTATCTAAAATCTTTCCACCTGCACTGAATGCACTCTTGTTTTCCAAAACAGTTTCACTTAAAAACCTCATTTAGCTAAGTGAAAATAACCTTGGCAACAATCTTATATATTACCCATTGGTAAGAAGGTCAATGAGTCTAATCCTTCACTTTGCAATAGCAATCCTTTTTTGGTACAACAAATATGTCAGTATAATCCTACCATTTCAATGGAACTCATTTTGCACTTTCCTAAGGCTATCTTTGATAATATTCCAGCATTTCAGGTCAAAGGTGGCCTGGGAGTTTCATTCCTCCCCATGCTTCAAATAGACCTTTTTGATTTCTCATCTTCAACCAGTCTTTTCAAACAATTAGCTTTTAATTGGTAAATAAGGCATCTACCCTGCCCTTCTAAGGTCAAGAATTGTTTGCCTCTACATAGAGTTAGTTTATAATCTTCTCTGCAATAGCTGTTGTATGTCTAACTTGTAGAACATTCCCTAACTCTAATTGCATAATCAAAGTTTTTATTCTTCTACACATTGCTATCCTGTGGAAGAGCTTAGCATTAGCATCCTCTTCCTTGGCCCATTGCATTTTAGTTTTCTATCTCCAATTATTTCCTCATTCTGCAAGATTTCCTCAAATTCATACTGTGAGTGATTGTGATAAAAGAATTCATATATCTCTTTTGAATGTGTCCGAGGTCCTTTGACCAATTCTTGATGATTTGCTTTCATGATTTTGGCAAATGTAAAGAGGCTAGATTTTTGTGGCAACGTACATTATGTTACATTTTCTTTGAGTGGAACTCATGTATTCATAAACATTCCTGCGGCACATCACTTGATTTGGGGGGGCATTGGAATTTAGTTGGTGTAAAAGCACGTGGCCTTTTTAATGGGGTTTCCCTAACACTAAGAGTAATGGATATGTTGAGGGATTGGGAAGCTTTTTCCAATGATTTCTCTTTTTTCTTGGTTGTTTTTCTGTTTTGTTCTGGAGATTTCCTTATCCTTCCTTTTTCTTTGAAATTTTTTTCTCTTATATTAATAAAGTTCTTAAAGGGGCGAACCGAAGCAGTGGTAAGACTGTTTCTTTACGACTGAAAGGTCATGAGTTCAAATCTAGGAAACAACCTCTTTGCAATTATGCAAGGGTAAGGCGGCTGCGTACAAGGATTTCCTCCACCCCGCACTCGCTAGTCAGGTTTAACGGGGAGTGATTTTTTTTTATGAATAAAGTTATTAATTTATCAAAAAAACAAAAAAACATAGATCCAATGTTGTTAAAACGTAGAAACGGAAGGGGTGAGCAAAAACATAAAATCATAAAATGTAAACGAAATATAAGAGTTTACTATATATATATATATCCAACATATATAAAACCAAAACACACCAATACATAAGTGATGTCATCACAAATAAAAATTAAGTTCAAACTCAGTCGTCATAATACATATTAAAATCAAAACACCAAGGTAATAAAATTATAAAAGACTGAAACACTTTATTTTAAAAAAAGGCTTATGTTTAATTCAGGCTGCTTCCATTACCTTTATAAGCAATATATAAATATAAATATCTTTATAAGATTCTTGGTTAAACAACTTTTTTTCTCTTTCAATTTTTGGTGGTTCTACAACTTTGCATAACCAAACATTACGAGTATTTTCGTCCATTAAAAATATTCTCTCACAAAACATAAAGATAATAGGATAAAAACATTGCTTTGGCATGAAAGTGAAGGAAGAGAGAGAGAATAAAAATAAAAAAGAAAAAGAAAAAGAAAAAGAAAAAGGTCAATGGTAACGCTGAGGGAGGAACAGTTTGTTTTAAAGTCACTCTCTCTTTGCAAACTCCGAGGAATTTTCATATCATCATCTGCAATATTTTCTATTTCAGTTTCAGTTTCTTTAACGTTTAATCTCTTACCACACACAGAGCTAGAGAGAGATACATGTTTTTCTGTTTGTGTCAGCAAGTGCTTCACCTTTGTCATTTTGTCTCTCTTTCTCTGCTATTAGTTTCTGGGAAAATGCTGGTTTGGAGGAAAGTGTTAAGTTGGAGAAGAGTGGCCAAATCCCTCCAAGCTCTGATAGCTCATGCCTTGCTCTTCTCCTTCACTCTTCTGCTTGCTCTCAAGGTTGACCGTATCATCCATTGCTTTTTTTTACTTCCATTTGCTTTTCATCCGCCATTTTCACCAATACAGACCACAATTTTCTCCCTCTTCAAAAGCTGATTTTATTTTATTTTATTTTTAAATACTGAGTCAACCAAGTTTACCGAGTTGACTCGTCGTTTCAACCGAGTCAACTCATTTTCCATTTCTACCACCATTTCAACACGTTTTTGGACCTAGAAATGTCCGTTTCTACCGAGTCAACACTTCGTTTTAATAACAATTCTCTGTTGAATTTGGTAATTTTCCCGTATATATTAGTTGTAATTGTTACAGGAACTTTTCTTTATTCATTTCATGTTTAATCTTACCTCTATGTTCCCTTCTAATTTTTATTCTTTTATCAACATAACTTCTCAAATCTCTTATCTTATTCTTTTTTTTTCTTTTTCTTTTTTCTTTTGGGGTGGGGGTGGGGTCCAGAATTTATAGAAAATTTATAGAAAGTTTACTTAACAGTGGTTATGGTGAAAATGTTCTGAGATTGTTGATGGTATGCAATCCAATAGGCCTGCTTGATATTTAAGTAAAAAAGTAAAGGTGTAATTCCCTTCTTTGGAATGGATGAGGACTCTAATTATATTTTCAAATCATGTAATTAGGTAGGAATTTCAGTACACTTAGCCCAAATATTAATTGACAGGCTCAAAATCCTGAGTCAAATAATGGATATACCAAAAATCCTGTGTATTATATTAACAACTAAAATTGAGGAACATAGCAAGAATCAATTGAATTTTCACTGCAATGGAGGTGTGGTTTAACATTTTCAGTTTTTTACCTTTATGTACATTCGTTAGCAAAAAATATCTGGAGATTTATAACTTCATAGCATCAATGACATAACTACTTTTCTTTTTTTATTTGCTTAGGTGGAGAAAAACACATATGTTGACATGCATGTTGGTGATGTCATTCGATTTGGCCGGTAGGTATTTTTGTGTATTGACTTTTTCACTTTGCTCATAAACAAGGCATTTACTCTGGTTCATTTTATTTTGATTCTCTCTTATGGCATTATTGCTTCTTTCAAATTATTTCAAATAATGTGATAGTCTGAATGTCTGATAATTTATATGTTCAATCTTTATTATGAATTGTGTGCCATGTATCTATTAGGACCTACACAGCAGTTACTAAATAAATTATTACAGCTTTCTTGAGGAACTCTTGCTGCTTAAAGGGATATACAATGAGTCCAGTTGAATTGGGACGTGCCACAAGTCCAGTTTAATTAGCATATTATATTTTACCCCCATGGTCTTTTCAAGGGGGTTGCCGTATCAGATTTGCGTAGAGATTGGGCTGCCATTTTACATTGTTCTTCTTGCGTGTGGTTTTGGTGCTTCTTTATAATTTTCTTTTTTGGTAGTTTTCTGGCAGAGGACATCTTATCCTCCTGTCTTTGTAGTTCTTTCTTTCTTAATGAATTTCTTTTTTTGTTACTATATCTTATACTGATGTTCCAAGTTCTAAAGCTGTACAGTTTCCATTAAGAATATAATCTCACTTATGGGTTGAATTTTTCTGGAAAATGCTAGATGTATGCTTATCATGTTTTTTTTCCCCAAGTTGAAATATATAATTTTTGCAATCTGTATTATACTGAACAATGGTATGATGCATGCACTTTCTCTCTTTGGGGTCAGAAAGCAATTGCTATATTAGTAATAAATAGAACACTGCAATTGGGGTCGGACATGTGAGAAGAAGACCAATAGAAGCCTCAGTAAGAAACCATTATAAAAGACCATGGCCTAAATGTGCTTATTAAATTTTGGTTTTTGACAAAACACGATGGGTTATTTCATCTATATGGCTCACCTCATCTAGTTTTGTTATTGTTATGTATTGCTGTTCATGTTGATTTCTTTTTTCTTTTTTGATCTTTTAGTTTTACTATGTTCATTTAATGGTGAGAGTGTAAGGATGAAGATGATAGGAATGAATGGTTTTTCATCTATAAGGAACTTCATTTTTTTAATATATGTTTCTATGTATTCATCTTGTATTCCATTTACAGGTCATCTCGCTTGTTCATTTTTGAAGGACCATCAGAGTTGATGCCTCCTGTAAGATCTAGGCTTCTCATTTTTATGTCTTTTTTTCATGAAATTTATGACTATTCACCATTTAATATTTGCCAATGTGTCTCCTTATCTTTCTTGAAAGGAAAAAAAGAATAGAGAAGTGTCCCAGCTCCCAGTGTTTTATGGGCTTGGGGTTAATGGATTCTGCGCACATTCCTTTCTTGTGATTTCTTTTTGCAAGCTATTGTTGTATTTCTTTTTGCAAGCTATTGTTGTATTTCTTTCTGAGTTTTAGGTATCTATTTATATGGTTTTTGATTTAGCGAATACATTCCCTACAAAGTTTACAAATCTTCCGTTCAGCTCTGACTTGAGTCATTATGACATTGGAATAGAAAGAAAGGGGCAAACTAGTAAATTTGTCCTGCTCTCTCTGAGTTGTTACATACAATATATAAGTCTTTACTCAATTTATAGCTTCCTTGGTAATATGCTCTTGCACATTCTTGCTTATCCAGTAAAACTTGATTTTGAACTTATGCATTCATACATTATCACATTGTTTATGGATTTCCTTTTGGACAGTTTCTGGAGTTCTGGTGGACAAATTTTCAATTAGGGTAAAAACCCAGAGTCATGATTTTTTTAATCTACTTATTAATCATTATCCATTCTTTAAACATGGATTGACTATTAGAAGCATGTTTGTCAGGATTTCTTAAATCATAGTTCTCCCTTTCATTTTTTCCCTTATAAAATTAGTAACTATTGTAAATATTCGAATTATTTATTTGATTATTATTTGTATTAGTTAAGATTACTCTAGAAGCTTCTTTGGGCTTAGCCATTAGGTCATTTAGTATCTTTAAATAGAGAACTCTTGCACAGTTATTTACACAATTCAATATATACAAAATACTTCTTCTACGTTTCAATTTAGTATCAGAGCTCTCGATTCTGAGGGCTCTGCTTCCGCAACTGCCGCCTTTGGAGTGGAATCTTAATATTTTGGCCCAAGCCGCCACCGGAAAATTTTTCCAAGGACCTTTTTGGACCGAGGGAACCACTGTTTAGCTTCTTTTTTCTCAGATCTATCACTGTTCGGACGTTTTCTCAGCTCCAAAGGCCAAACCACACCTGTTTTTCACCGGAACAGTACTATTCCGGTGACCTTTAAACTTTGACCAGCCACAAAAAGGACCGCAACTTCCGGACGACCCTGCCAGAAAAAGCCCATCGCCGTCCGTAGCTACAAAATACTTCTTCTACTTTTCAATTGTAACATTGCAATATAAGATATCTGTAATGCAGCAAGGGGTAAAGGGCTTTAAGGGAAGGCGAAAAGTTGAGAACAGACAAACAATCTGAGGAAGAAAATTATCTGGATTATTAGAAGGTATTACTGAAATGAGGTAAGGGTAGAATGGAAAAGGAAGGAAAATGAAAGTAAGAGCAATTCTTAATTGATTAATAGGAAAGAGTACAACAAGGACAGAATTCAAGAGCAAGCTCTTCTCAAGGGGCACTCTCCTTCACGCTGAGAGACTTCTCTTTCAATTCTACAATTCAATCCCTAGAAGATGATTATGGCAGAAAGAATGTTTCCCTTATATAGTTGAGGGGCTAACTATTCCTGACAACATAACCATCCAACTAACAACTGCTTGACTCTTATAATATGGGTCCATGCAATGATGCTGTGCAAGAAACTCCTTCTAACAAATAAATAACAATGGAAAATAATTCCATATTTTAGAATATATAGTTCAAAGAAGATGACATTCCTACTTTATGAACAATTAACATATTTCTTTTTCTCTTCTGCTTGTTGAAATTTCTTTGAATGTTGTTGTTCTAAGGAGATACTTCCAACAATAAAGTTTTCAAAGCATCTTTTCACATGAAATTTGAACCAATTATACAGTCTAATGGCATCAATGGATCTATGCAGCTAACCCCACCTAGTGGGATAAGGCTTTGATGTTGTTGATGTATGAAATTTGAATCAAGCATCAATTTGATGTAACCATCTACTCTTTAGCTAATGTAATAGTGAGCTTAAAGGGTGAGCCTCCGGCAGGATTGTTGCCTTGTGACCTGGAGGATATGCCTAAATCTATCTTCTTTTCTTTTCCCTCTTTATTTCTTTAACACAAATGTAACTTTTTATCAGTTTATTACTGCAATTAGCATCCTTTTTTTCATATTGGTTTTATTTTGTAGGAAACTAATGCAAAACTTATGAGAGAAGTAAAGATGCGTGAAGCAATGCTAGATAGGGAAGCTTCACTCCGACGAGCAAGGATGGAAGGACCTCTTGCGGAGGGTATATCATGGGGCATGGGTGAGGATGCTATTGAAGAAGATGAGGTTTGTAGAAGTTTGTAATTATGACATATAGAGTGTATGATATATATAATTTTTCCTTTGAACTAACTAATAATTCATTAACATTTTATGTTTAGAATTTCACTTTTTGTATGAAAACTCAAGTTGGCCATTTATGTTTTCTGATTCATTGGCTTGGTGGATTCAAATTTCAGGATGATGTGGAAGAAGTGACATGGCAGTCATATAAAGGACAGCTTACTGAGAAACAGGAAAAAACCCGTGAGAAAATAATAAAAAGGATGGAAAAGGTGAATAATTCTTGTTAATTTGGTTTCCTGGGCTGCGTCTCTCATTTTTTAATGATAATACACAAAATGCTTATTAATATGAAACACTGTTTTGATATTGGTTAATGGTCAGACTCATTTTATCTCATCCTCAATGTTATCAAAGACCTAAAAACTCAAAGCAATTAATTCTCTTTTTCTCACTTCCGCTCCCCATCTTTTGGGATTGAAAGAACTTTTTCCTACTACTGTACTCAGAATCCCTATGCAAATATGCATGGTTAAGGCTACGTACAAGAATTATCTTCACCCCACCCCACCCTCGCTAGTCGTAGTTTAATGGGGAGTGATTTTTTGTACTCCGTATCCCTACCTCTGCTGATAGATTATGTTCCAAACGGCTGAACAAGGAGGTGATATCCTGGCTTTATGGATCAAAGTTGTAGTCTCAATCGAGTAAACTGAATGCAGAAGACATCTCCATAAGATATGCATTGGTAAAATTGTCCAGAAAATGGGGGATTATATTTGTGTACACACAGACATAAACAGTCTTCCCTTGCCACACAACCTAGTTCCCTGTTAACCTTGTTGATTTGATAGTATCCTCATTAGGCTTTCCCTGTATTTATGCTCTTTTCTTTGTGCAGATTGCTAACATGAAGAAAGAAATAAATTCTATACGAGTTAAAGACATTTCTCAGGGTGGACTAACACAAGGTCAGCAGACTCAGATTGCAAGGAATGAGCAGAGAATAACACAGGTAATGTTGGAGAAAACAAATTAGACAAGAACCGTGTATATTCCTCTCCATATCCTGTGATAGTCAGAGCTTTTAAAACTAGAATTTGTTTTTCATCATGCCATCTTGTTAATTGGTTAAATTATGATGCATAAGCACTTGAAAACTTGGTTACGATGGATAGGTACTGGAAGAACTTGAAAACTTGGAAGAGACACTAAATGACAGTATTCGAGAAAGTATAGGTGCACGTACAGGAAAGATATCTCATGGGAAGAAGAAAGGTGGTGCAGGAGAAAATGAAGAAGAATATTCAAGGTATGATATCACCTATAAAAGAGAATTTTCTTAAAATCTGAAATTTTCTAAGAAGAATATAATGTTTGAATATCAATAGAAGACAACCACATATCTGAACTGCTTAATGCTATTTTACTTTTGTATTTTTTTTTTGGAATGCTGTGTTCTTTTTGGAGTGAAACAAGTGCAATGTTTAATGTCCTTGCGTGGCACTCTCGTACAACATTTATATTATGTGCCAAAACTAAAATGCATTTCTTGCAATTACTTGCATTTTCCAGTGATGATGATGATGATGAATTTTACGACCGTACAAAGAGAAAGCCTTCTCATCAGAAGCCTGGTGAGAACAAATCAGTTGAGACTGCGGATACTCTTCTCGATAAAAGAGATGCCATCGTCAAGGAAATGAATGACAAGAAAGAGTTGCTTATGATTGAAAAGAACAAAATGTTGTCAGAGAGTACCACACAAGATGTTGGTGATTCACTGGATGCTTACATGTCAGGGCTTTCATCCCAACTAGGTGAGAGTTCTCTCTGATATGTCATGCCCAGTCTCTGTTCTCTCTGTTTTTTCTCAAAGCCTTCATGACACATTTTAGAAAGTTGAATCAAACCTATTTTATATTTTTAATTTTAGGCTTAGCAAGAATAGACCCTTTTGAACATTGCTTTGTGACATTTTAACAAAAACAGCTTCATGATATTTTAAATCTGATTTTTTTTTTAGCAAAAAAAAACCATGGACAGCCTTTAAATTAATTTTTTTATGATGGTATTTTTTACGAAGATGTTTTTAACTCTTTTTTATTCTGTCTGATATCTAAGGCCTCCTTTTTTTTAATTTTTTTATGCTTTTTTTTATTCTTAATAATTTGTTGTTTACTTGTTAATGTTTTTGTCACTGACTTTATCCTTGTTTTAATAGCATGACTGGAGATTAAAGAATAATTGTATATTGAATAATCATAGTGTATTACAATGTACAAGAGCTCTCTATTTAAAGAGACTAAAAGACCTAATAGGTTGAGCTCATACGATGTGGGACTATATATATACTGAACTATTTTTACAACTATTCTAACACTCCCCCTCAAGCTGGAGCATATATATTGTAAGCACCCAGCTTGCCACAAATATATTCAACCCGAGGACCCGTAAGAGCTTTAGTGAAGACATCCGCGAGTTGATCATTGGAGTTGACAAATTCCGTTTTGATTTCTCCTGACTGAATCTTTTCTCGAATGAAATGACAATCGATCTCTATATGTCTGGTTCTCTCATGAAATACAGGATTAGAGGATATATGTAGTGCAGCTTGATTGTCACAAATGAGAGTCATGGGTTTCTTCTGTTCACAAAGATGGAGCTCCCGAATCAACTGCTTTCACCAGATTAGCTCGCAGGTAGCAACTCCCATTGCACGATACTCGACCTCTGCACTAGATCGGGCAACAACAGTTTCTTTCTTACTTTTCCCAGAAATCAGGTTTCCTCCAAAGAAAACACAATAGCCTGAAGTAGAGTGCCTATCCGAGGGTGATCCTGCCCAATCGGCATCTGAATAACCACAAATTTCTGTATTTCCCTGATCTGAATATAATAAACCTTTCCCTGGTGCTCCTTTGATGTAACGAAGGATCCTAACAGCAGCATCCCAATGAGAATCACACGGAGAATCAAGAAACTGACTAGCGACACTTACAGCAAAAGAAATGTCCGGCCTAGTCACAGTGAGATAATTGAGCTTCCCAATCAACCTCCGATAACGTCCAGGATCAGATAATGGTTCTCCTTGTCCGGGTAGTAATTTGATAGTAGGATCCATCGGTGTGTCAACTGGCTTACACGCTAACATACCAGTCTCTTCTAGGATATCCAAGGCATACTTCCTTTGACAGATAGAAATGCCCTGTCTAGATTGTGCTACCTCAATTCCCAAGAAGTAACGCAGCTTCCCGAGGTCCTTTGTCTGAAATTGACTGAATAAAAACTGTTTTAACTGACGAATTCCAGCTTGATCACTCCCTGTGAGGATGATGTCATCAACATAGACTAACAAATAGATGCACTTATCAGGAGATGTGATCCTATAAAACACAGAGTGGTCAACTTTACTGCGAATTAAGCCAAACTCCTGAACAATAGAACTGAAGCGACTGAACCATGCCCGAGGAGACTGCTTGAGACCATATAAGGATTTGCGAAGACGACACACCTTCCCAGACTCCCCTTGAGCAACAAAACCCGGTGGTTGCTCCATATAAACTTCTTGTAAATCACCATGAAGAAAGGCATTTTTGATGTCAAGTTGAAGGAGTGGCCAGTGACGAATAGCAGCAAGAGCAAGAAATAGGCGAACTGACGCCATCTTAGCGACCGGAGAGAATGTATCGCTATAATCAAGGTCGAATATTTGAGTAAAACCCTTTGCAACTAGGCGGGCCTTGAGTCGATCAACATGGCCATCAGGTCCAACTTTCACAGTAAACACCCAGCGACAACCAACTGTAGACTTCTCTGGAGGAGTAGAAACAAGTCCCAAGTGCCATTGGAATGAAGTGCAGTCATCTCATCAAGCATCGCTTGGCGCCACCTTGGATGGGAAAGTGCTTCACCTGTGGTCTTAGGAATAGAAATAGAAGAAAGACTAGAAACAAAGGTGAAATGAAGTGAAGAAAGACGGTCATAGCTCAAAAAAGTATAAAGAGGATAAGGGTTATGAGTAGTACGTGTACCTTTTCTTTGAGCAATGGGAAGAGCCTCTGGTGAAGGATCCGGAGGGGAAGAAGCAACAGCAGTGGGTGATGACTCAGCAAGAGTCGAGTCGACAGGAGGCACAGTTTTGCGACGCTGATAGGTGAGAAGTGGACGGTTCTCAGGTATAGAAGCAATAGGTTGGTCATCTGGAATAGAAGCACCTGCAGCTGGCAAAGACAAGTCAAGAAAAGGGACAGGAAGAACATGATCAACCTGTGACAACTGAGATGAGATAGAATTAAAGGGTTGTTGATCAAGAAAAGTGACATCAGCGGAAACTAAGTAACGCTTAAGATCGGGAGAATAACAACGATAACCTTTTTGAAGACGAGAATAACCAAGAAAGATACACTGAAAGGCTTTGGATGTTAACTTATCCTTACCAGGAGTGAGACCATGAACAAAACAAGTACAACCAAAGACATGTGGAGTTAGAGGATAAAGAGGAACATCTGGAAGCAATAGGTTATAAGGAATGTCATTGTTGAGCACAGATGAGGGCATGCGATTGATGAGAAAACAAGAGATGAGTACAGCATCTGCCCAGAAGTGAAGGGGAACCTACATATGAAGAAGAAGGGTACGTGCAGTTTCAATGAGATGTCTGTTTTTACGTTCAACCACCCCATTTTGTTGTGGAGTGTGAGGACAAGTAGTTTGATGTAAAGTACCTTGTGTGGCCAAGAAATTAGAAAAATCAATAGAAACATATTCCTTAGCATTATCACTACGTAGAATACGAATAGAAACACCAAATTGAGTATGAATCTCAGTATAAAACTTTTTATAAATGGAAAATAACTCAGAACGATTTTTCATTAAATAGACCCAAGTGCAACGGGAAAAATCATCAATAAAGGTAACGAAATACCGAAAACCTAAAACAGACAAGGTACGACTTGGACCCCAGATATCTGAATGAACAAGAGAGAAAGGGGCATCGCTCGTTTATTGACTCGACTGGCAAAAGAGGAACGTGTATGCTTCCCTTGTTGACATGACACACAATCTAAAGACTGAAGACCGGATAAAAGAGGAACCATTTTCTGCAACTTTGAAAGACTTGGATGACCGAGGCGACTGTGGATAAGTTGTGGAGATTCTGTGAGAGAGAATGCCACTGAAGGACGAGGCACATCCAGATAGTAAAGCCCCCGTGACTCACGACCCACTCCAATCATTTTCCCTGTACCCGGATCCTGCACAGAAAAAGAATGGTTAGAGAAAGTAATGGTGCAAGTGAGGGAGTGGATCAACTTACTAATAGAAATTAAGTTATAAGGGATGCCAAGAATGTAATAAACAGATGTCAAGGCTAGAGGTCGGACGAGCTTGTCCAATCCCACGAACTGGGGCTTTGGTTCCATCCGCAAGGGTAAAAGAAGGTAAATGGTCAGAATAAGTAAGAGATGTAAAGAGTTCCGTATTACCACAGAGATGATCGGTAGCACCTGAGTCAAATATCCAAGTGCCAAGTGATGTAGAATGAGAAACACAAGCAACGGGATTACCAGTATATGGTTGAGACTGAGGAGAAGCCTTCTTGAGAAGAGTTTGGAGTGCAGCATAGTCCGCAAGTGAGAGAGAAACTGAACCAAATGATGCATTGTCTGACTAAGCTATATTCGCAGCAAGAGAGATAGAATCCTTTAGTTTGGAAGATGTAATGGGCCCAATATTAGTAGAGATGATTCCTGAGGAAGTTTTGACAGGAGGACAAGGAGAGTTAACCTCCGAGAGATCAGGGGACGCTGCTGCCATTTAAAGACAGAATATAAAAGCCGTAAACGAAGGCAAACGATATCCAATCAAGGAGAACCACGCGTCTAAAGTGAGACCCACAAAGAACCAAGCACAGATTCGGAAAGAGGAGAAGAAGACGAGAAGTTCTGTCCAAGAACGGCCGGAAAACTCCACCGGAACAGTGGACACGCGCCGGTTGAAGGTGGCGCGTGAGCACCACGCGCAGAGGAGAAGAACGGCGCGTGGAGGCGCGTGGCTGACGCGACGGTGGTCGGACCACCACAGAACTGGTCGCCGGGATGAGACGGTCCTGATCGTAGGTAGTCTGGGCTAAAAACTCGCCGGAACAGTGCTCCGGTGGCCTGAACAGTGACGAGCGGCGGTTGTTGGCGGCGGGAAGTGGTTCTGACAGTTGAAGAAACAAGCCGGAGAGACACACGGCTTAGAGGAAAAACTCGCCGGAAGAATGCACGGCAAAGTAGAAGAGAACACCTAAGCAGTGGGCTTAGGGTTTTAGCGGAAGCGGATCCCCAGAGTTAAAAAGCTCTGATACCAACTTGAGATTAAAGAATATAAATTGTATATTGAATAATCATAGTGTATTACAATGTACAAGAGCTCTCTATTTAAAGAGACTAAAAGACCTAATAGGTTGAGCTCATACGATGTGGGACTATATATATACTGAACTATTTTTACAACTATTCTAACAGCATGCTTTAATTTTTTTAATTTTGAGCATATATATGCGTGGTATATCTAAGTTCCATTGATCTATTCCACTATATCCGCAATCGCAACCTGCTATAGCTCTATAGCATTTTTTAGGGTTGGCCGCGACAGGCAGCAATCCGCATTTGATAACTTTAATATTGACAAATGACTGTTTCTTTTTTCCATATCATTATGTGCAACAATGTGTCTTAAATTGGAGATGCAGGCAGAGATTTGATATGTGCACTTCTTATACTTGCTGATTTCTTCTTTTCTCTTCTTTTCTGTTAGTGTATGACAAAAGTGTGCAGCTTGAGGAGGAAATGTCAACTCTTAAGTCTGAGCTGGATAGGATATGCTACCTTTTGAATATTGCTGATCCAACGGGAGAAGCTGCCAAGAAAAGGGAGTTGAAAGTACAAGAACCCAAACCAAAAAAATCTGCAGAAGTTGCCTCTACCATCAAGAAGAAACCACCTGCAGAAACACAAAACAGCAGTGAGAATTTTGCAAGGACAGATAACGAGAAACCACATATGGAAACACAGAAACTCAGTGAGGATTGTGTAAAGGCAGATCTCTCCATAAAAGGAGAGAAACCTGCTGCTGGAACTGTGGGTTTGGACAAGTCAGAACCTGGCTGTGACAGATTGGAGGCTGAGAATGTTGTATACACTGTCCCAAAGCCCCAATGGCTTGGAGCTGTAGAGGACAGGGTTACAGATGATACTCAACAACTGATAGCCCCAGAGCGTCTGCGAGAGGTGGACGAGTCCAATGAGTTTGTTGACTACAAGGACAGGAACAAAATTTTGGGCAGTGGCGATGATGCAAGGACTTCTGTGGAATCTAAAATTGAGTCAGCTGCTCCTGGTCTAATTTTAATGAAACGGAAACAAGTTGAGACAACTGGAACAAATAGTAATGATGCCTCTCAGCAAATGACATCTTCCACTTCAGGTGAACAAATAGCTGAGGATGCCGTGGCACTATTATTAAAGCACAAAAGGGGACTGTATGCTAATGATGATGAGGACAGACATGAAAGCCAAGAGAGGAGGCCTAAAAGGGTGCTTGGGCCTGAGAAACCTTCGTTTTTGAATGAAGAGAAAGTTTATGACTCATGGGTTCCTCCTGAAGGTTAGCACAATTAGGTTCAATATTCTGACTATATGCTTGAATTTCATTTTATTGGATGATCATACATTCCTTTGTTCTGTGCAGGACAATCAGGTGATGGACGGACTTCTTTGAACGACAGATATGGCTATTGAGGAAGGGGTGTACAGCATTGTTCATTAAAGAAAGGAGTTTAGGCTGCATATTCACCTAAGAAAATATCAATGAGGGATCAGGCAGAACCTGCTCAGTAGCATTAATGAACTTTAGAGTTGCAATGTATGAGTTTCCGAGACCTCTGTCCTTTGTTAAGTAGAAGTGAAAGGATGACAAAGTTTGTTGGTGAAAGGACCACTGTAATGTAGTAACAGAGACATGGCAGGGTGAAAGGACTACAGTGATGTAGTAGCAGAGACATTGCAGATTGAGATGTACTTTACTAATACCTGATCAAATGCCTGCCGTGTACGTCCACATGATCTAAGTAACAAGTGACTTGTCTTTCTGTGTGAGAATTATGGAATGAAGCAAGCTACTCCGTTCCTATTTTGATAACTAGCAAAGCAAATTAGCAGAAAAAACAGACCAATGTACATTCTGCATGCTACTACACTTTGGAAAATAAGGACTGCCTTGCTGCCATCAAAAAAATATACTTTAAAACATGTCGGTGCTTGAGAGGAGTGCTTTGTTAACAGTTAAGAATTAAGGGCTTAGTTGTCATACTGCATATCGTTGAAGAAATGGCTGTGTAATTGGAGGTTGCCTACAAATAGTTGAATTTTTCAAAAAAAAATGTAGTTAGTTTTATCTCTCATCCTTTCTCTTCTAAAGCCCTTTAAATGTGTTACAGAGACGAGAGTTGTCAGAGCTTACATATTTAATTTTTTTTTTTTTGTTAATTTTATTTAAAGGAGAGAAAAATGATGGCCACCAAAACAAAGTTTAAAAGAATGAGATCTGTGATGTATGTTTAGACTTATTGACAATGGTCCACCATAACACAGGAACTTGGCTCATTTCCAAAAATAATCCTGAGAACAATCCTATAACCGTACGAACCAACAATTGATGGGTTGTACATACTTCCAATCTCTTTTTTATCGTCAAGAAAATTATTGAAGGGCGTGGTCAATTTAGGTAAATAAAGAGAAACCTAATGCTGTAGGGATCCATAACATCAACATTTTCAACTGCGAATGCTAGCTTTACCCTTTCACGATTACAGTCAGCATTGCTTTTGCACTCTAAAATTAGTTTATTACCATCTCCGATGCAAGGGAATTAGTACATCACCAGAGATTGGAATGTCTCATTTATCATATTTTGTCAGCATTAACCATCATGAGCTTTAACCAATAACATTGGCTGTAGTCACTAAATTACTTAGCTAAAAAGGGTTCACGAAATAAACTAATATATGTATACTATAAATCATGTGGGTACACTAATTCAAACAAATGTCTCTTCATATTTACAAGCGAAAAACTTGAACAAATGAATACACCGATATAAATGAAAACCATAGAATTCTCTGTTGACATCATGGTTTGCAGCTACTCATGGTATGCTTTGCACGGTTACTTGATGCTGAACCAGGTCAAGATTTGCTACAGAAATTGTTAATGATGCTCCATACTCGTCAAATTAATAAATGAAATTTATTGTTTGTGCTGCAGAAACTGGCAATGCAAATTTTAACTCCTTGGCTTTCCCTTGGGAGCCTGCTGATTGTTGCAGCAGCTTCAAAAGCTTCTATCTCGTATGGTACAAGGTATACATCCGCACATCAACAACCAAGTAGATTAGGGTGGAATATATTTTCATACCAAAAGGGTCGTCCTCAAGACCCTGCCTGGATGATGCCTTTGAAGATAGATGCAGTCACTGAAATAGCCTCTATAAGGAGTACTTTCAGAAGATCTGTTGCCGTTGCCATGTTCACACTCTTAAGACATTACTTGAGATGTTGTCAGTAAGCCCAAAAGGAACGATTCCAAGCCTTAAAGAAACCAGCAGAATCAGTTGAAGAAATATGGTGACTCTAAAACTTCCCTTAAGTCAAAGTCTCCCCTTTCAGGCAAGGGTGGAAATGATAATAATGGGAAAGACCTCTGAAAGCTCTCCAATAACTGTTCACAAATTAAACAGGTAAGAGAAATGATCTAGCAATAATGTAGAAATTTCATAACAGCTTAAGATAAAAAATAAAACGGCACTCTGATTCTTTTCTTCTGCAAAAATAAAAATTCCAGACTCAGCATCTTGTCAGATAATACATGATTTTTCCATCTTCATGTCTATCAGAAATGCAGAAAGTAGAATTCAAATCACAGAAACAAAGCACATTCCCCAAAGAAATATCTGCTATTCATTTCAGACAAATCTGAAGTCATTAATCTGGCCCCGGCCATTTCTCCCAAAAAGATTCCCAATACTGAAATTGGTTTCACCTTAAATGTAATTCTACTACCCAGGAACAAAATAGTATTGGATATAAATAATGAGCATTTAAACCATACATTTTCCAATATTGGAGTCTCGTAGAGTTCTACAAACTTCTCTCTCAATATTCTGTTCATTTTATCCACATCACATGCATGCGTCCAATATGAATCATGAACCCCTACAAGCATGTAGCAGAGATTATTCATCATTAGTATTATAATTATAATAGATTAAATAAAAATAGAAACATGAGCCTAATGGAACATCTCTTCTCCCCTCCCTGGGTCCCTTATTGGGGATCCCTAAGGCACCACTACAGTGGTGGGGCCTCCCTCCCCTAGGCCCTAGCAGGGCCTGTTACTTAAAAAAAAAAAAAAAAGAAGAAAGAAAAGAATGGAAAGGACCTAACAAGGAAATACCTGCAAAATTCAAACCTTCTTTGTTGCAGGCTACTGCAGTCATCATCATATGAGAACCATCGAGTGAGTGAACAAAATTTGGAGGAAATGCCGTTCTCTGCCGTTTGACCATGACCTAGAACATTTAAATGTAAAATTTAAAATTTAAGTCTTGAAAATATAAATCAAATCAAAATACCAAAATTCTCTACCCTAGAAGCTATGCTAGAAATGTCTGCTAACATGTTTATAAGATACAAACACCCACTCTCCATATACATAATAGAACTCTAAGGAAATATTTAGTGTGTAGATGCCAGTTCTTGAAAAAGACACCCATGTTTGATACTGGGAATGAGATGACCATGGCGTCTCAGATGATACCTAATCGGCTCTAATGCCCACTGCATGGGCATGTGAAACCCATTCCAACCGGTTGAAATCACAACCACAATCCCAAACACGAGATTTTATCTTTTTAATTATGTAGCAATTATACTTGTAATTGATTTACTTTTTTTTAAACTTATTTAAAATGTTAGATGTCCAAGATTGATCACAACAACCAATCAGAGGGCATCCCACATGCTTAGGCATCTTCCACATCAAATATAAGCATCCCAAATACCCAAAATCATCTTAGAAGCACATGTGTTAAATGGGGCATGAATACAGTTAGAAATATAAATATTAAAAACATTCATGTGCCTTTATCTAATAGCTTAAACTTTTGAGTTAAATTGGTACTTTACATGGTATCAAAGCTTGGTTTGGTTTGGACTAGCCTGGTGTTTGACTAGAAGTGGGTTGAGTACCTGGGTTGATGTACCCGAGAGGTTTCCATTGACGGGAAGTTTGTTAAAAATTCAAGTGTGATATGTAATGGCCCAAGTGAGGACTTATGATGCACTGACACTTCAAAAAACCTGATGTGTCGTGTTCGACACTTCCCGACACTCCAACGCGTGTTGCAAAGACTCAAAAAAGGGGTTCAAAAGTTGAGTTGCGTTGCGTTTTTAGTTCCAACTATTAGATTCGTTAGATTACGATTACCATTTTAAGTTTAATATAAATATTTGTGATATCTGTTCGAATCTCCTCCGTACCACCTTTGGGAGGGGTTTAAAGCCTTAATCCTGGACCCGCCCCGAAACGGATTAGTTGCGAAGCAATGAACCGATTGGAATATTTTCAAAAATATATATATATATATTTTTGTGATATCTTATATTTCTTTGTAAAATTGATGGGTATTATAAGTTAAGCTTCATTTTATTGTTAAATTATTGAATATTAAATATAATATAGACTAAATAAATTAAAAATATTTTTTAATATCAAAATGTGTCCTAACGTCTAGAAATCTAACAATTTTTAGAATTAACGTGTCGAAGTATCGTGTCATGTCTCGTGTCCCGTGTCGGTGCAACATAGGTGAGGACCATATAAATGAAAAAACCAATAGACCTAAAACTTCAAGGTTTTGGGTCAAGATGTGGTGTCGAGCCACTTATTGTGGTTAGTGTAGCTTAGTCGATTGGTGGTAGTTCCCCCTATCATGGACTACCCTTTGCCCCCCATATTCTTCTAATAAATATTGCAGAATTTCTTAGCACAAGATAAGGTGGGCTTGTGCGTTATCCACCCTTTCAAACCCAAACGACTCTTGCGTAAGAGGGCGTTAGAAATATAAATATAAATATAAAAACCATTCATGTGACTTTACCTAACAGCTCAAGCTTTTGGGTTAAATCGGTTCTTTACAAATGCAATTTGACATGAACACAAGGATATGACATTTTATAAATGACCGGAAATAACACAAGCAAGGGTATTAAATATAAAAGTAATATTATAATAATATTAGCATAAAAACAAAAATTGTAATAATAGAGACATAAATGTATCAAAAGTCAACATTAGTCACTATAGACACTAAAATAATATTATCTATCTAATAATTGCGGTATTCCATCAGTATTGGTGTAACAATTCAAAAGTAAAAGTAAAAAATTTGTAGGGTACATGTTAGGAGTATATGATGGTGTATTAGAAGTGTCCAACATTGGTACGGAACCATTTTGAAGTATCCTTGCTTCAATGTCCATTATGCCAGTAAGGAATTCATTCATAACTATTCCTTTCCTTCAGCTCATCATTCACTTTCAGTAAGGAATAAGTAAGTTTAGGAAAAACAAAAACTTCCCTCAAAAATACCTCACACTCTTGACCTCAACTTTTCCTCCTGTTCTTAGAATGGAACAAAACAAATGATTAAATGTTTCCCACAATTGTGCTTCCATTAATTTCATTCCCTTCCCTCCCATCCATCTAAAGAGATACTCAATTGCCAACACACAAAATATTGACACCGTATCTTCAGGAATTTGTTTTTCGCACGAGTTTTGAGCAAGGCGGGTTTCGGGAAAAAGGTTTGGTTGCATGTAATATAAACAGTCCCATTATACATTCGGGAAAAGTACACCTCAACACCGCACCAGACAATAGCATGACAGTGCACGTTAAATACTGGCAGGTGTTGATGGGTGATGTGTCTCCAATTTATTATGTATTAAGGGTTAATATGATCATGAAATTGATTTAAAATAATTAAAAGATATAAGAATTGTAATTAAATTGTTATTTTATTCTCATTAAGATTCTCATAAAAATTCTGATATTTTACAATAATTTTCAGCTCAATAAAAAGATAAATTGGAGAGCTCAAGTCGATTTGCTTTGGATTTCTGAATCATATAATTCATTGAAGATGTTATTGAATCTTCCCTTGAATATTTTTAAGGAAAGTTTTCCTTTAAATATAAAAGGAAAGATTTTAAGGATTTGATTAAAGATATGATTGGAGATTCTATTGAAGATTCTATTGAAGATATTATGAGAAATTAAAAGATATAATTTCATCACTATAAAAAGGCAACTCTTGGAAACAGAAAGGAGGCTGACACATTAAGAAAGAAAGGAGCTTTTGCTGGAGATTGGAGAATTTCAGAGAGAGAAGCTTGAAGGAGATTGAGCAACATTGATTTTTTTTCTTCTTCTTCTTCATGACTTCTTCTATTTCTTTTATTATTTTATTTTGTTTAAGCTAGCTATGTCTGGCTAAGTTTCTTTTGTAGTAGGAATATGGATCCGACTTGAATCCTTGTTTTGGTTTAATTCTTTTCATTAATAAATTGTCTTAAATTGTTTGTGTTTACCTTGATTTGCATGTTTAAATTCTTGTATAATCTGGCCAATTATATAGGGATAAAGAGGGTTAGGATTAACAATAGACATATTGGGATCTTGGTCTAGACAGGGGTAGAACACCAATTCTTGCATGATCCAGACATAGACTTGTCGGAATTGCAAATTTTTATAATTCATCACGCTTAAGGCTTAATCTAAAAGAGATTTCTAAGACATTAGGATTCCGATTGGGTTAAAGGATTAAAGAATTAAGACATCAGGATTTAACCAATTAATTCTTAGATGATGAATTGTTTGAAACAATTGAGATAGAATATTATTAAATTGTAATTAAACCAATTAGGGGATCAGAGGTGAAGTAAACCAAACTGCATTTTTATTCATAATTTCAAGTTCATCTTTTTAATTAATTTCTTTTACTGTCATCTATATTTAATTTTTAATTAAATATTGGTTACCTGTGAAATGACCTTTGGAATTGTCTAACTTAGATAAAAACAGTGAAACTATTGCTTGTAATTAGTCCTCGTGGGAACGATACTCTACTCATTCACTTTATTAATTGTACGACCGGTATACTTACCGTATTCGCAACAATGGGTAAATGATACAAAGTGTGCAAATGGTGGCGTGTAAGTGTGTAACTCCATACATTTAGCTATAGACACAAAAAAACAGCATGAAATGTTGCAGCCCATATCTACACAATATCTACACAATGATGTTAATGTTAAATTTACTTACCTTATCTGTTTCTCGTTGCAATGTCAACATCTGAAGTGAAGTTTTGATCTGCAATCCATATAATAATAATAATAGCTTATTAACCTATAGACAGCCTTGAATCCAGAGAACTTGAGAGAAGTTTTAAGGATGTAATTCCAGGGAAATTCTAATGCACTCACAATATGCCTTCCTAGTTTACGGTAAGGTTGCACTACAGGAAGTCCAAGAGGAGTGGTCCAGCGCACTGGTTGATTTTCAGATGCAATTATCTGTTCCAATTGTCTTCGTCATACTCATACCATAATATAAGTACATGACAGGAAAGGGGAAAAAAAAAGCGTAGCATTTTATTATTTCTCTCCATGTACAAGCGAGAATATGCAGTTATGCACTATGCAGATGTTGGTGCAAGGAGTATTTGACATACTTTTGCACAGTCACCAAGCCAGCTCATGATATCTCGTGCACCTTGAAACATTTCCTCTAAGGCAGTTAAGGTGACCTGAGAAAAGCAATAAAGATGTAACAAACATTGCATACCTATGCTACAACGATTCAATATTTAAAATGCTGCCATTTTCACCCTCTAACCTTAGCAGCATAACAAGAAGCACCAAAAAGCTCCGTATCATCTGAAATGGCATCCCTTTCTTTCAACCTCCTTTTTATTTGTTCCCGTGCACCAATGTAAGTAACACCATACACTGATGTCATCACTGTCTGCTTAACCAATTTTCTATCCACCTAGACAAGTCCAAGATCAGTCAAAAATCAGCTTTGAGATGAGGAGTGAAAAGAGAAAAAGCACAACATCACTAGAATTGATTATGTAATAAATTATTTTCACTCAGGTTTATAATACCAGGTGAACTACATATAAGACCAAAAGAATGGCAGATAACCTGATTAACTAGAGTCCTTGCATGAAGAGCATCAGGAAAAATTGCAGGATCTTTCTGAGCATCTCTTCGCATGATGTCTAATACTCTGCAATGAAATAATTCTTCTATGATTGAGTTGTTTATTTGAGAACACCCCTCTCACAAGGGAAAATTCAAGCCAAAAAATGACAACAGAAAGAACAAAAGAAAAGAAAAAAGAGCCTTCCAAATATCAGAATAACTATAAATAAATATTAGACCAAATAACTAAACTGGAAAAACTAATGCTACATAAACCTACTAAATTTTTTGATAGAAATTAGAAAGAAAAAGAAATACAAAAGAGCACGATATCCTCCATAACAAAGGCATAACCACAATGTGGTCAAACACTGCTTCCAATTATCTTCCAAAAATCCTAACACCCCCAACAGTAATGCAGGAAAATTGGCATTTGTCTGTAACCACTAAAAGTAACCAGTAGTTCTCTTAAATTCTGTTGAAATTTATCTAACCTACAAAGAGAGACCTTGGATACTTCCATAGCCACCAACAATTTTTCCAAGATAAAAAGGTCAAATATCTACGTCAAACTTTAACCCTTATGCCCAGCAACCAAATGCATCCTTCTGAACCATAGAAAAATCCTTGGCGAAATATTTGGCAGGATCATGCTCAACGAGGCTTCCCCCATTTCCCCTCCTAAGTTTCTAATGGAAAGAGAACATTTGGACTTTGAGAAAAAAATATAGTAGGTCCAATCTTGAAGAAAGAATAGTATTTTGCTTAATTTCTATATTCATTTAAGTATATATTTTGTCCTGCTATGTACAGAAAAATAAAGCCTCAAACACCCTGGAGCTGCAGCTTGGCATTGTATGTTTGCTTCAATACAACAAAATTGAGAGAAATTATAGAATACATCTTCTAGAACCTTTATTTTAATAGAAAAAGAATAAGGGAGGATATGGTATCTTCAAGGACTTGTAATTTTTAATAGAAACAGGTTTTCTGGGTGCCTTTAAAGCAGCTTTAATTAGGTCATTTGATGACTTTTTGAGGTAAAAAGTAATTAATGCTCTGTACAACAATAGCAAAGTATAAATGCATTCAAAGCATCTTGAAGGTGATGCTAAGAAAAATAAAAATGTTGATCAGACATGTCTTAATTATGAGTTGTTTTAAAGCTGAGTACTTTATCATAAAACAAGGTCTAAATTGAACCTCCCAAAACAAAGCTAGGTAAGAAATAAAAAAAATAGCTAAGCTGCTTTAATTGGAAATTTTTTCTTCTGAACCACTGTTTCATTCCATTAAATATAAAGGGAACAAAGTGGGCCAGAGACTGTTATCTATCCAAAGAGAGGAGAGGTCAATCATGGCAATATGGAAAATACTAAATGCCCACTGCTAGCATTTCAAACTTTAAAATATACGTAGCAATACACGCAAATACTTACCTAGCTGCTATTCCTGAGTAAACATCTGCTGGCTTCTCTCCTGCAACTAGATTAACAGCAGCAGCCCCTAACTGAATAAAAAAATTAAAAAAATTACTATACAGGTATCTCCCATCAGCAACACAGTTTTTTCAAAAATGAAAATAGAATAGAAGGCATGCTCAGTGATAGGGATAGGCCCATGCCAATTACCAAGAGGGTCTATACAAGGAAGAAAAGAAAGAATGAAAAAGGCCCAGGCCCAGTAATGGACAGCTGACGTGGATGGAGCAGTGAGAAAAGGAGAGAACTCTGTTAGGGTAGTTAGTTGGGAGAGGGAATATTAGGCGTGAGTGGAGGACAGAGAGGAGCATTCGATGAGTGGGTTGGTTTGGGGCATCTTCTGGTGCATGGAAGAGGTAGGGATCTCTAAATGCCAGGGTAGAGAGTGGTTGGTTACTGATACTGTCTCATAGTTCTTGTTTTTCAGTCTTTTCCATACTCATGCATACATTCTGTAATTCCAAGTTTACGAACTAATCAATGCCACTTTTCCTTCCAATTTTCTTGCTCTTTTCTTGTCATGTTCATCTGATACCTACCAGATAGGGACCAGAAACATCATAGGAGATGAAGATATTCAGAGAACATCAGTAAAGAGTTCTCACTAAACACATGATAAGCAAACATTTCTGTTCAGAAATCAGTAATGGACAATATAAGCATAAGTTTCACCTGCTGCCACTTTTGACAAGACCATTCTGGATAAAACCCAAACAGAAAACTTAAACAGTCAAAACCAACCAAATAGTACAAATGTACAGAGATGGGATTGGCTACTAAAGCCAAATTCATTTTCAACAATTGTCAAAATCGTGAAGACTCTGAGCTACAATCAAAACTAATTATCATCCCCTAACTTGATCTCTAATATCTGGGACTGAAGAACTTGAAACTCAATCAGAATAAGGGGTATAAACAAAATGACAAAGGCCATCATTACCTTGTCTCTTCCCAAGGCAGCATAATGTTGTAAACCATTACAAGAGCCATCCTACGACAGAAAATCAAGGTAGTGCGAATCATGATTAGTAAATAAACTCTATACATTCTAAACGAAAATGATGATAATGACAGACTTGACAATCAATTATGAGCTTTACATGGCTTACTGGTCATTGATATCACACATCAAAGAATCGGTAAGAATAGATTAAGCTGGTGATTTTTACACAAAGCAGTGAAGTGCATGCATGACCCATATGAAGAAAAATGCTAAAGGAACACCAAAACTTATTTCTTATATATTCTAATATCAACAGGGAAAAGATAAGAAAAGGCTAGTTCACAAGGCTCCCAGCATTGTGGAGACAGGGAAGGGACAGATATTCACTGTTACCCCTGTCATGTTTCTGTGACTAGAACCTGTGAGCATGACCAGGTCATAAGGCAGTAACCTTACCATAGGCCCAAGGCTCGTCCTCATCAACAGAAGAAAGATAAAATCATAATATAATGTAGCAAGTTCCTCAAAAAAGGAATTCACTTGTAGGAGGGAGCATTAGAGTCTCATATTAATTTTACAAAAAGGTTTATTCAGTTTCTCTGGGATTATATATTCTAGCCACCCAAGAAACTGAATGTGTAACAATTTCAAATCTAGGGACTCTTGAGATAAGGGGTATATCTATTGTTTGGTAATTGTAAAAACCATTGATGGGCCTTCACTTCTCAACTTAAGATTTTAGGTGAGATAGTAGCTTTACATGGTCGATGACCACGAGGTCACGAGTTTGATCCTCATCACCCCCTAACTTTCTAATGGAATTAAATCAGCACAAGATAGAATCAAAAAAATGAGTCTGTGCAATATTCACGCTTCAAACCCAAAGGGCTCTTGCGTAAGGGGACGTGTTAGAGAGATATAATAAAATAATAAAAAAAAAAAACCATTAATAGGCTTTCACTTCTGAGCATAAGCTTTTGAGTAGAAATGGTTCTTTACAATAATGATAATCAAAGTGTTTACTAATATCCAGAAGAAGGTGCACATAAGTAATGTATATGTGAAGAAATTATATGGATACACTAAGTTGTTTAATAGCCAAAGTAACCTGTTTAACCTGAAAATGGAACACATTCAAATCGGGAGCCTTTGGTTTTATGTACAAAATTGGGTTAATTTGGCTTTATTTTTCAAGAAATGTTTTCTTTTAGTTTTGTTTACAATAGGTTTTTATTATTCTTATCTTAACTCCACACCCACAAACTAGTAATGAACCCTAATATATTAATGTTCTCCTATATATTCATGATATTAGTAATTGATAGAAATATGATGTTCATTACATGACTTAAAGGAGGAATCAGGTTGCTAATCTATTTTTATAAATTAAGAATTACATCTCTTTCACCACTTCACCTTTCGAAAAAAAAATTCTAACTCATCTCAACCCAACCCATGATTATTTATGTGGCCATCACTTAACAGCTTAAGCTTTTGGTTTAAATTTGTTCTTAGCAAGATATCATAGCCTCTGTGACCAAGTGGTCACGAGTTTGATCCTCAACGCCGTCGTTTTCTAATAAAAAACAAGATGTTATAATCAGCACAAGATAGACACGTACATTGTCCACACTTCAAGCATAAGAGCTCTTGCATGAGGGGGTATGATAAAGATAAAAAAAGGTAAATACCGATGCACAAGAAGCCTTACCCTGGCATTTTTTGCAAAGAGACTATTTCCTATACTCAAACTTGTGATCTTCCGGTCACAAAAAGCAACTTTATAGTTGCTCCAAGGCTCGGCCTCCATGAGAGGGTATGTTAAAGATATAATATATAAAAACATTAATGTGATCTTCACTTAACAACTTAATATTTTGAATTAAACTGGTTCTTTACATGTACTGACCGCTCCTACTGTCAACCCAATTTATTAGAGCTGTGTCATAACCTCAAAACCCAATCCAAGAAATTTTTTGAACATCTATATCCAAACCCTGAAAATACCTGATGTACTGGAATATGTGAAATGAATGTTTCTGGTGAAGAGCTTCTTAAAGCTTCACTTAGAGTTATGCACACGGCTAGGCACTGCAATGGGTCTTCTGCATTCAACCACCACCGCCTCCCTTCAAGAGGATTGTCTGCAGAATCAAATATGTCAGCCAAATGATTTTCAGTGAATGCCATGCGACCCTCATGAGATAGTTTATCAACACCGCCAGCATATAGATTTGCCAAGTGTATCTTCAACCAGTGTAGGCCTGACTTTCCAAGACGGCGTCCTTCTGCAAATTCCAATATACCCCGGCATACATCTGAACCAAGGTGATTTAAGTGTGGGTGCATGGGGTATGCACGACCTCGGAAATCAAGGTTGTGTGGGTAGTAAAAACCTTCTTCATCCTTCATTTTTCGTGCTACCTGCACCCATAGATATAAATGGGTTTGTTACCTGAAAGAGAATAAGGATTACAAATTAATGTACATAAATTTCAAGGAAGCTTACAGCAAGTTTAAGTTCTATGTCACAACGTAGTGAATATCTCTCCCTGTTCTCTTTCTTTACAGATTTGACCTTCCACTTCCATTTCTTTATCAGCGCTTCATCATCGGTATCTGGCTCCTCAGGTAAAGGAACCTGCAATAGGAACACCATTTGAAACCATCGTTAACATAAGTTTCTTAAAACATACTTCCATATCTAAAAAAATGAGCATCATATAATCAAACTTACATCATCGCGGTCCACCAAATCAGCAAGACGGCCTCCACTAGCCCATATCCTGTCTACGACACTCAGGACCTTCTTATTTACCCTCCATTTCGTATTCCCAAGAGTATCCAGAGCCTAATCACATGGGTTTTACATGTGCATTTATAAAAAAATTACTTTCCTAAGAATAGCAAAAATAATACATATATATGTGCACACAGATATTTTCCTACATAAAACAAGGTAGGTATAAGTTCAAGCACTACTCTTCATTGGTGACAATTATAACAAACTCGGACCTCAAATACAGGCTCTAGTTGCTTCCTAGGGGGCCTCTTAACAGCCTCACGTTGTTGCCTAACTCCATGAGTACGCATGACATAGGAAGGTAAGAACAAGTGCCCACCTTTATCATAACTGCAAAAGTATGGCAAAGGAAAAATAGAGGAGTCAGCACTTATTTAGCCATTCAGCAAAAAGAAGAAAAACTGCAATCTACTTATTGTAAACATTGAATTTTAATCTTGAAAAATTCTGATTCACATTTTGAAACTAATTGCAAAAGGCAATTGTTTAATGGGCTATGCATTTGGAATTTGGATCACTGTTTTAAAAAATAGTATAATCAAACAGAAGCAAAGTAAGTACGAGCACATTGGGGAAAGGATAAGGGTATGTTCAAATTTCAATAGCAGAAAAAAAAAAAAATATATATATATATATATATATATATATGTATATATCATAACAAAGAAAACCAAAGGAACCAAGGACAGTAGGAATAAAGCAGGGTAGCCTAATATTACCCTTTACCCATCAGAGTCGTAACACCCTTGAAACAACCACGGGTGAAGCATTACCACAGAAGCTTAGAACAAAGCCTAATCCCAAACCAAATCAAGAGGCAAGGGGATACCTTAAAGATAAGCTCATTCCTCTACAACCAAATGCACCAAAGAAAAGCATTTTAAGGGGTGTAATGTGTTCATATTTTCACAGGTTTTTTTACATTGGTTAGAGTTTGGACCACCTTCTAGCCCCATTATATAGCATACCCAGCCATAAAATCAAAATACAGAAGGTTAACAAGGCAGAAATAAAATGTGTTGAGTTTCCATACCCTGTCCAGTTGACTGGTGGAACCAACATAGGCATATAAGGAATAACCATATTTTTTGCCTGTTGAAAAATAAGAAAAAATAAATCAATGACTTGTAGAACCCATGGACATGAGAGGAGATCACTATAAACATAAATACATAAACAACGTAATATGCAATATCTATTGAGAACTAATTGAAATAAACTACACATACACTAGAGCTGGGATATTTAGTTCGTGACATTAAAAAATAAAAAAATAAAAAACTTTTACATGCAAAGTGCATGAGCACAATGCCAATTAACTCAAGTGCTAGCGAGTAAGCTAAACCCCACCCTCGTTGAGCATAAAAAACAACTACGGAGCATAATGTTGAAGAGATCTCCTTCAATGAGCAAAGCAAGGAACCACATTTGTGGGCTTGAAAATAGAGATCTATCTTTGAAGATATGAGCACTATGCTCCAACCAAATAAACCACATGACAGCAAAAATGCACAACTCCACATAAAACTTTCTAGATAAAGAGTTTAAGGTCTTTCTACAAAATGGGAGTTAGTTTATTTTGGGATTATATTTAAGGTAGTGCCCTGCTAAAATCACTATACAAAGTCAGTCTTACAAGTAGGATTATAAATGAGTGAAATTCCCCGACATATAGAATTATTATGTATTCAGAGTCTTGGAAAATGATAATATTGGCAAGATTTTTCTCTAGCTTGATTCTCACATATATCCTTCCTTTCTTCTCCCACCCTTTCTCTTTCTTCTCTCTTTACCCCTATTCTCACTTCTCCTATCTTCATCATCTGCATCCTATAATTCTTTGGTCCAGCATTGCCATTAGTACATGTAAAACTTTTTCTAAACTTGATTCAATTCAGGAACTAAATTATCAGTTAAAAAACCCATAACAAAACTCTCTTTTCCAAACTAAAGATTCAATAACCTGATAAATAACAATGTCAAAATTGCTATCTAAGATATCTCAAATGATGAACCATCCAATTTAAACTTCAATTAAAGAACAGCAGGTGAAGGAATATACTTACAGTTCTGTCAAGGCCTTTAAGAATTAGAGGGTCACATTCAATAATACCGTATTTTTTGCTTGCTTTCCTGTTAAAAAAAAAAATCCAGAGCCACAATTTAAAGTACTGCTGGACAATTCAAACCAAACTGAGAGGCAGAGATTAAAGCTTACGTTGCCTCTTTTGTCACCGTTCTAAACGAATGCACAAATGCAGGTCGGATATCAGGTGCACAATCCAGTAGTTGATCTGATTGTGGTTGTATATATGCTGTCTGCATCAAGAGCTCAACTAAACGGCTTCCCACCTGTGAAGTGGAGAGGATACCATCTTACCAAGAAGCAAATAAATAGCAAAAGGAGCATTTAGACTGTAGAGAAGCTATTCAAACCTTTGTCTTCATGACTGGTCCCCATGGTTTTGTATCATCCTGGCTTTTCAGTATCCCCCTCACTGCAACAAGCTTTTGCTTTTTCATCAAATCCATGACTTTTTTCCGCATCTTTTCCTCTTCCTTGACAGCAGCAACAGATTCACCTGCTTCATTTTTCTTGCCTTTATCACCCTTTTTCTTTTTAGTTTTCTCCAAGAACTTGTGTATTCTAACCTGAACCATCAAATAATAAACAGTACATAAGGTTGCAGCAATACCAAGAGATTGGGTTAAGATACCTATAGACATAAAATGCCATGCCTAAGGAAGTTTATTGTCCAGAATAAATTGAAGAACATATACAAGATTTAACAAATAAAAAATCACTGTTAGGAAGGCCCAACCTTCAGGTTTATCAAGCTTTGTGTTGTAGTTGTATATATATCAGTGTCAGTGTGTAATTTGGTTGGAGGGAGAATGGGAAATATTGGGCAGGTTGGGTAACCAAAGTGTACTCCCCATCCCCTGTTCAATACCCACGAAATCCCCTAAAAAGTCTCATACCCAGCTTCATCCCCATTTTATGATTCCCGCACCCGGCTCCATTCAGATAAAGTTGGCAGTTATAAGAATTAAGGCCATAATTTTATTTCAATATTATAGGTCACTATGTAGGTCTTCGCCTCCTTCGGATACTCATCCCCCAAACTTTTGAACTTCCTCCACACTCCCATGGGTTTTCTAAGGGTACTTCTAGGTCCGACATACAAAAGAACTGTGTAGCTCTATTGAACAAACATGCAGGAGTACAATCAAATATTATAGAACAAAATTCAAAACAGTATAAAATGAACAATTTAAACTACTTCAATCACGATATTTATGCAGTTAAGACTTAAGAACATGCCAAAATGAACACGAACAATGCGAGAAATGCAATGTCCCACCTCCTGTTCAATGGCATCACCTATGCTGCAGACAGCCTGCACAACCCTGGCAGTGCCAACTGTGGCATGTTCGGTCCCTGTCATTAACAACCCCATCAACTTATGCATGGTGATAACAGCCATCTTGTCAGCCGGTAACTGAACAAAGTAAGGTGCGTAGGCCATTCTGTTCTTCCCCATATGGTACATTTCCTGTTCCTTAGCGATGGCATCCCGCAGAGGCTCAAACCAGCCAAGAAAGAGTGACTTCATGTATGGCAGATTGGGTGCCAGCTTCTGCTCACACATGTCCATCAAAAGCTCCCTATACTCCTTGGCAGCCTCTTCCCACACTTCAGTCTCAATCTTAACCTGCCTTCTTCTCAGCTCTTGGTACCTAGACTGTTTCATTCCCACAGTCAAGTTCAGCTGACTCTGCCACCTAAAACCAACCACCTTCGTCTTCTGCTCTTCTTTCCTCATCCCATGCAACAATTCTTGAATTTCATCAACAGGGGAAGCATCTTCCTCAACGTCCGTGGAAGAAACTGCCTCGGCAACTCCAGCATACCCTTTAACACCAAATTGAAATTGAGCATGCCCAATACGATTTGGTTTTTCCCCATGGCATAAAATCTCCCTGTTTAGGGGGAAAACGAAATCTTGGGAGATAATAAGAGGCCTGGGAGGGTGCAAGCGAATGCGAAACCCCCAACAAGCTTGTTTGGCGACGTTCCGCCACATGTTTGTGGAAATGCCCGAACGAGTAGGTTGGAAGATAAGGTTTGTTTTATCAAGAGGGAGGAGAGAATCAAGTCCCTTATTGAGGGAATTAGTGGGGAACATCAAATTGTGCGGAATAGCAATGACAACAAGTGAAAATGGAAGAAAAAAATGGAATTAAGAAAATGGATGAAGTTAGAGGAAGAGGGTGGAGAAACAAGTGTAAAGAAGATTCAAAATTCATAAAGGGAGTGAAGATACTGTCGCCGCCTTAAGGCTTAAAAGGTTGGTGTTGGTATTGTGAGGAATTGGAGTGAAGGACAGAGTTATGTTCTTGTCGCAGCGACGCCTCAAAAACCCTTCCCTTTGGGGTTTTACAATAACAACGATGCTTTAATCTATGCTTAGTATTACTTTCGTGTAACATAAGACTAGTTCCCTTGTGTTAGTACGGCTCATTATTTAAAAGCAAAAAAAAAAAAAAAAAAGACATGATTTTTGAAATGAGAGAAAAGAAGATAATTACTTCGTGTAAAACAAGAGTAATATTTCCTTTAATCTATATGTACCTAAAGAAAAATATAAAAAAATTAGATTTCAATTTATCTTTTTTTCACACCTACTTATCAATCTTTCTTAGTTTAATTAGAATCTCAACTAATATTTATCATTTTTTTCTTTTAAGATTCTGACTTAATAGTATTGGAGATTAGTAAACAAAATAAACATGAAAAATAAGTAAATAGAATAACCTAAAAAAAAATCAATAATCACCAAAAATTATAAACATAATTTCATACAACTAGTTTCTTGGTTTTGAATTCTCCAATTCGTGGCACTAATAATTTTTCCATAAGTACCTATACCATTATAAGAAAAAGAAAATTTGGTAATAATTTTTATTAAAAAAAAATATTATTAGTTGATTAAATTTAAGGGAAAGGTTATACTTACCACCAATTGAGTTTATCATTTCTTATTAACAAATCTTAACCATTGGTTTTTGTCAATTTCACGATTACAATTTATTGGATGATATTTATTAATTAATTAATTATTCCCAATAAATTATAATAGTTTAGAGTTTAAGATTTGGTGATAAGAAGTGATAAATATAATTGGTAATAAGTATAATTTTCCTCTAAATTTAAATACAAAACGAGTGATGGGCTAAACAAATTGAAAATTTTAGAAAGAAAAAATTAAGTAATTATAAAATTAATACATAATTTAATAAAATATCAAAGACTTTATTGTTGATCAACGCGTTGCTAAACCCACAACTCAAATAAATATGAAGTAGGGTGAGTTGAGAGCATGCGATCCTCTCCGGTACCGTCTTTGGGAAAAATTTAATGTCTTAATCCCAAAATCGTCCCAAATCAAATTAGTCGTGAATGATGAATCAATTGGAATATCTCCAAAACATATATATATGTGTGTGTGTGTGTGTTTAATAAAGGATCTCGGTTCGATTCTCATATGCCACTTTGCGATGTTTAAATATTTTCATCCCTGACCCGCTTTACACTCCAGATTAGTCTCGTAGCTGGCTTAAAGAGTCGACGCTTATGGAGATACCAAAAGAAGCCAACTCGCCTCGAAAAGATAATTAGGGTAAAAAAATATGTTTAACCGAGTTGGTGAAACATCAACTTACCTAAATGTCATGTTGGATGATATCTTAATGGATCTAATTGGTAAGCAAAATCTCACAATTTTATGGACCATCATCCTTGATAAGATTTAATTTTTCAAGCTTTTCTCTCATTTTTAGTAGAATTTAATCATAAAAACAATAACAAACTTTCTAAACAAAGTAAAATGAATGATGATAATAGAATTAAATAAATATGAGCATTTTAATAACTCGTGAATTTTATACGTAAATATCTTACCAAATGGCATTCAAGATGTTGGAAATTTAATTAAGATAGTCTCAAACTAAACTTTTAACAAATAATTTTTTTTTAAAAAAAAACAAAAAAAAAATGGAATATAAAGATTAACTAGAACAGAGTTGCTCCCAATATATCATAGGCTACCCTCTCCTCACATTGTGGCAGTGGTTGTGTGAAAATCTGCAAAATTCTGATGGGAAGTACAAGCATGTATTGCGAGCCAGTTGGCCACCTCATTGCATTCAAGTGTGTGAGACGTGTATGGACCAATCCTTGTTGATGCCATGTTCTGACTTGTTTAATGCTCCTATAGCAACCATTAAGAATTGAATCTTAAGCTACTATAGAATCTCCTTCAACGGTTCAACCACAAACTGAAGGCCAAGATAAGCACCCCCACCCCAAACCTCGTGAATTTGGGACAAGTGTCAGTGGCAAAAATCTTCATTTTCTGTCACCAAAAAAATTAATTTTATTGAAATAGGTGGACATATTATTGGAAAATCCAAAAAAATAATAATAATTTTTGTATTACAGTCAGTTTATAATACTTTTGATTCGGCTTGACCTATCCTATAATTGAATTGACACCTCTAATTCTAAGTGTCTTGCGGGTTTTTTTATCATTGTTTTGAAAGACCATGTAGATTTACTTTTTCTTGCACAGTTGCTTCTTACACTTCCTTTTCATATCTTAAATAGAAATCGCATTCGACATTTTATTTGAAGCTCTAACTTTACGTGTAAGAAATTTAATACATCAAAATGCCTGTTTGAAACTAGTTATATTAATGATTAAAAGTAATGTGTCATAGATAAATTAATACACATACATGTTTTTTTTTTTAGGTTACCAGGAATAGAACACACAATCACACACTCACACACACCCTATTACACACACCCACACCACTAGGCTAGCCCTAGTGGTTACACATACGTGTTTTTTGAATCTAGGTATTAACCTTTTCTTCCATATATGGCATTTGGTGTGGCTTTACATCAAATTGTTAGATTGCAACATCTTGTTTTTATTTATTTATTTATTTATTTTTCTGTTCAGCTTACATGACACGTTGAAGTGCACAAGAATTGTGGTCATATTATGGAATAAATCTTTGGTGCTAGTGTAGCACTAAAGATTCAGTACATTCCATCAATAGAAATATTACATATCAGCAAAAGTTCTTTTTTCTCTGTCAAATTTATTCTCTCTCCTCTGATGTGTAATACTCTTATTAGTGGAATGCCAAAAATTTATTCCATATTATGCCATGTAACAAATCTAAGAGCCGGGTACATAGCCAAGCTCTTGGTATTTAATTCAAATTCCATATGTTTATATAGACCCTTCATCCTTAATTTCCTAACATTCAAATTAATAAGAAACGAATCAACATGTTCATTGGACAATGTTATATGAACAGAACTTCGTAGAAACAAAGTGTCAAAGTAATGCAGAGCACTTGGAGTAGTAAGTTTTTGTCTAGAAAAAATGTGAACAGAAGTAGTAAATCTAATGGTGAAAAACTGACTTTTTGGAGGAGTAAAGTGTTGTTTATACAGTGAATACGACCCCAAATAATAAAGTACACCCCGAACTGACTACAATCACCAACAGTTTAAATGTTCAGAGCTTCCAATTACAGTGATACAAAAATCTCAAGTGTTATGACAATGTAATACTGACTATTAATGCCTAGATGGTCACCATACATGGGTACCAGCACGACTTCTTCCGCTAGATATGTTGATCTCCAACTAGACTAGATTATCTTATTTAAATGGCGAGACCATCAGGTCATCAATGTAATGGAGGTGGGATGAATGTCACTTCGGAATGTGATGCTTGAGAGGTTGGCACAACTCATGTTGAGTTCATGGAAGTGAGAAAGTTTCTCCGCCGAGACTACCACGGCAATTGAGAGAGGTATTATGAGATGTTGTGACTTCTTCCCCATATCTTTTGAGCAATTCGAAATTGGAATCACCAATTTCGGGTGGGTGAGGTAACTTTCAATAGTCTTAGGTCGGTGAATTGATATAAAGAAAAGTTATAAATTGACGAGGAAATGAAACAACCATTGCAGACCGAAGAAGGGGCGAGCTTTGACGACCCTCCATAAACTTTCATTATTTTATTACAGGGGATTGTAAGAGTCATGTAACAGGATTAAAGATTAATTAATTTCCTGCAGACACACCGTTCGGTGGGACCCACGAATTTTGAAAAAAAGAAAGAAAATGAGGCGCTCTTATCGATAAAATTTGTGAGTGCAGGATTTTTGTTTTCATTCCTATTACATAACTCTTGCAATTCCCTTTATTATATTATATATAAAATGATATTTGTCTAATACTAATAAACTATTAGCATTAATAGTTAGCACATTCCTAAAAAATACATATAATAGTTAGTCCATTTTATTATTTTTAATGTTTTTATAGTTGTATTCAACATATTATGTATGTTGTCCAAGTTAGCTGAGACATGTGTAACTTGTGAGGAAGAGGAGTCTTGACTTGCATTGAATATGAGTATCATATAGCTTGACAAGAGGGCCAAAGTGATAATTATTTTTAAAAACAAGGGCAAAAGGGTCAATTGGCCTAATTTTTATTACTATATGATTTTTATACTTATACTACTAAATAATTGATGCTCATTTTTTATTTATTGAAATCAACATAAAATTTAAATGATAATAAAAAAATGTTTTATGAAAAGTATTCTAAAGAAAACAATGTTAATTTCCTTTTTCTCTCATGTAATTAAGAAGAACTTAGAAGAAAAAAATGGAAATTAATTGTCGTCTAAGAGTTAAAATATAAATAGGAGGGAAACAAGGGATCAGTTCTTATAGTTCCTCCTTAGAGCCATAAATTTTGTTTCTCCCATAACTAAGTTCGAATGAGAGAAAACGTAGGTTTAGAGTTCCGTTTTATTTCTTTATTAACTTTTTAAACAAGAAAAATTTATTTCCTCTACTTTTCAGCTCATCCTTTCTTTTCACATCTTATTTTATTAATTAAATAAATCAAAACACAATAAGAAAATAAATAAATAAAGAAATCGTATTAGAAATCAATTAGTATCACATGTATCGGTCTATCGCTTGAATAAGGGTAACAACTTTAAACAAGTACTCATATCAAGTATCTTAAAGTACACACATGTGATAAAATCAAAAAAACTATACCAACGAACACATTTATAAAAATTGAAAAACTAAATAAAAAAAATAGTAAAAACAAGAATAAAAAGTTCTGAGATTTAGAGTTGAATACCTAAACAGATATCACAAAGGCAAAATTGAGGAGGAAAAGACGAATTGTAATATGCAGTGAAATAATGAAGATTTGAAAACGTGATGGTTAACTAAGACGACCAAACTAGAATGAGCATGTGCAAATCTTAAAAGACTAATTTAGGATAAATGTAAATAGAAAT